ACATAGTACTGGAAGTCCTAGCCAGACCAATCAGGCAAGAGAAAGAAATAAAGGGTAACCAAATTGGGAAAGAGGAGATCAAACTATCCCTGTTTTCTGACAATATGATCTTGTATCTGGAAAACCCTGAAGACTCCACCAAAAGACTCGTAGAATCAATAAATAAATTTAGTAAAGTCTCAAGTTGTAAAATCAATGCACACAAATCAGTAGCATTTCTATACACTAATAAAAGTCAAGTTCAGAGTCAAGTCAAGGATTCCATACCATTTACAATAGCTACAAAGAAAATAAAATACCTAGGAATATCCTTAACCAAAGAGGTAAAAGAGAACTACAGGAGAACTACAGAACACTGACAAAACAAATCACAGATAACACAAACAAATGAAAAAACATCTCATGCTCATGGATTGGTAGAATCAACATCATTAAAATGTCCATACTGCCCAAAGTGATTTACAGATTCAATGCAATCTCCATGAAAATACCAATGTCATATTTCACAGATCCAGAAAAAATAATTCTATGCCTCATTTTGAACCAGAAAGAGCCCAGATAGGTAAAACAACTTAAGCAAAAAGAATAAATCTGGAGGCATCACATTATCTGACTTCAAATTATACTACAAGGCTATAGTAACTAAAACAGTATGGTACTGGTATAAAAGTGGAGGCATAGATCAATGGAACAGAATAAAGAACCCAGAAATAAAACCATCTACCTACAACAAACTGATTTTTGACAAAGCAGACAACAGGGTCTGGGAAAAGGAAGCCCTATTCAATAAATGGTGCTGGGAAAACTGGATAGCTAGATGCAGAAGAATGAAACAGGACCCCTATCTCGTTGTATACAAAAATTAATTTAGGATGAATAAAAACTTTAAGGCATGAACCATAAAAATTATAGAAGAAAGCATGGAAAAACTCTGATAGACATCAGCCTAGGCAAAGAATTTATGACCAAGACCCTAAAGGCAAATACAACAACAACAGGAATAAATAAATGGGACTCAATTAAATTTAAAAGCTTTTGCATAGTGAAGGAAATAATCAACAAAGTAAATAGACAACCTACGGAATGGGAAAAAATATTTACAAACTATATGTCCAATAAAGGGCTAATATCCAGAATCTACAAAGAACTCAAGCAAATCAGTAAGAAAAAAATGAATAACCTTTTAAAAAGTGGGCAAAAGACATGAACAGAAGTTTTTACAAAGAAGATAGACCAGTGGCCAACAAACATGAAAAAATCCTCAATGTCACTAATCATCAGGAAAATGCAAACTAAAATCATAGTGAGATATCACCTTACCCTTGTCAGAATGGCCATTACTAATAAGTCAAAAAACAATAGATGCTGGTATGGATGCAGAGGAAGGAACACTTACATACTGTTGTTGGGACTGCAAATTAGTATGACCTCTATGGAAAACAATATGGAGATTTCTCAAATAAATGTAGACTTACCATTTTATCCCGCAATCTTACTGCTGGGTATCTACCCAAAGGAAAAGAAGCCATTTTATCAAAAAGATACCTGCTCTTGAATGTTTACCACACCACAGTTCGCAATTGCAAAGATGTGGACTCAACCTAAGTACACAACAATTCATGAGTGGATTAAGAAGATGTGGTATATATATACCATGGAGTACTATTCAACCATAAAAAGAAATGAAATAATGTCTTTTGCAGCAACTTGGTTGGAACTGGAGCCTGCTATCCTAAGCAAAGTATCTCAGCAATGGAAAAACAAACACCACATGTACTCTCTAGTAATTGGGAACTAAACAATGGGCACACACGGGCACAAAGAGATGTAAGGGACACTGGAAACCAAGAAGGGGAGAGGGTGGGAGAGAGTGAGGGGTAAAAACTTACCTATGGAGTCCAATGAACACTCTTCTGATGAAAGCCCTGACTTAAGCATTATACAATGTATCCATGTAACAAAAACATTTGTATCACCTTTATGTTTTAAAATTTAAAAAAAAGAACCCATAGCCTAGTTCAATGCTCTTTCCTCTGCAAACTGTTCAGATAAAAAGTTTGTATATGTCTGTAATAATAAAAGAAAAATATAACAATTAGATGAATTTTTTTTTTGTTTCAGCATATTATGGGGGTACAGATGTTTAGGTTACGTATGTTGCCCTTGCCCACCCGCCTCCCCAAGTCCGAGCTTCAAGCGTGTCCATCCCCTGGATGGTGCGCATCGCACTCTTTGTGTAAGCATATAGCTGTCCCCTTCCCCCCCCAAAATCCAATAAATGTTATTCTTATATGTGCACTTATATGTTGATCAGTGAAACCAATTTGCCAGTGAGTAGATGTGGTGCTTGTTTTTCCATTCTTGGGATACTTCACTTAGTAGAATGTGTTTCAGCTCTATCCAGGAGAATATAAGAGGTGCTATATCACCATTGTTTCTTAAAGCTGAATAGTACTCCATGGTATACATGTACAATTAGGTGAATTTTTAATCATACTAATATTCAATTTAAGGAGAAACCTTTTATTCTGAGATTCTTTCAACAAATTCTTAGTAAGTGCCAGCTGTATGTCAAGTACTGGATTTAGTGTTGAACAACAAACACATACATGGAGCTTATGTTCTAATGAGGGAAGAGAGACAAAAGTAAACGAACAATAACATAACAGTAAGTAATTTCAGATAGTGATAAGAGGTCTAAAGAAAATAGAGAATGGTAGTGGTAGTTGGGGGTGACTTCAGCTAGAAAGATCTGGGAAGGCCTCTCTGAAGAGGTTTTCATTTGTGCTAAATTCTAAATAATGAGAAAGAAGCAGGCATACGAAGATATGGGAGAAGCACATTATATTACAGAGGAATTAGCAAAGACTCTAGAGACATGAACAAGCCTGTGTTTCTGAACAAAAAGGTAGATAGGGGCCGGGCGTGGTGGCTCACACCTGTAATCCTAGCACTCTGAGAGGCCAAGGCGGGAGGAATGCTTGAGCTCAGGAATTTGAAACCAGCCTGAGCAAGAACAAGACTCCGTCTCTACTAAAAAATAGAAAAATTAGCTGGATGTGGTGGTGTGCACCTATAGTCCCAGCTACTTGGGAGGCTGAGACAGGAGGATCACTTGAGCCCAGAGGTTTGAGGTTGCAGTGAGTTATGATGATGTCACTGCACTCTACCCAGGGCAGCACAGCGAGATCTCAAAAAAAAAAACAAAGAAAAAGAGGGAAAAAAAGGTAGATAAGGGTAGGAAAGGACAAGTCTTGAGGGCCCTTGTCGACCATAGTAAGAGATTTGTAATTTACTGTAATTGCTATTTTCCCACTGTTTTATTATATAAAATGATAGTGGTATTACGTTGTAGATTGGTGCTTAAATATCTTGCCTCTGGTGAGTGTGAGGTCATTTGCTTCCCTTTACTTGTTTGTAAGTACTGTTAACACTTACTGATTTTGTAATCTTACTTGGCAAAACTAAAAGTCAATAACCCTATGTCAGTCCCGAAACTTTTTTTTTTTTATTTTATCAGCCATGAAATCCAGTAGTTTGAAAACTATCGTGCTATACCATAGCAGCTTCCCAATAGGAATACTTGAAAATCTTTGTCAATAAAGAGGTTAACATAATATCCAGACAATTGCATGCTGACATGTTTTTCTTAGAGGAGGCATTTAATTTAAATTCTCTTGAATATCAGATCTTCCTCTACTTTTCTTCACCTACTTTCTTTTTGCTCTCTTTCTGTCATCTATAAGTCCATCACTAGATCATATAAATTTCTCTTTTATTTGGGAATGGCCTTGTTACAAGCTTCCAGAACTTCTTTGTGTCCAGTGCTTAGAATAGCCATTATATTATCACAGTTCACCAGAAGTAGCCCCATATTTAAAATACTCAAATCCAAATGTTCCTTAAGCTTGTTGCTCCAAGTAAATTAGTACCCTAGTCATTATTAAAAATGAAATCTAGAGGTGAATGTACATGAAATGAGGATACAAATACAGGCCATAGGCCCAGTTCAATCTGGCTCATATCAGCTGTGATTATGTCTTCCTTTTGCCAACTGAATTTAGCATGTCCTGTTTTCACGTGTGACTTGTTCATGAAAATGGGCATTAACATTTACTGTACATGTTTTAAAGGGAGATTTCTTCCTGGAGAGTCCAAGCAATCATAAAACACTTCTTCAATGTGGTATTTGAAGGATTCATGCAAGTTAACATATTTTGTTCTTTTTCTTCAAAATTGACCACTTAATCATCTGGCTTAAGTCCAGAGAATGTCTAGTTGAGGCTAAAGATACGCTGCTTTAGGAATCCCTGAGGATTACCATGCCTCTTTCATGGTACTGAGGCCACAGGAGCCAAGCGTATTGCTGGCCAGGTATACCATTTTTACCATTTGCTACTTATCTTTATAGAATAATGGAAGCCAAATTCTAAACAGCAGTGTTTTTTCCATTTTTTATTAGCAGCAGAACTCCTTCTTCGGAGAAAATTCCAGACACCCAGTATGTAAAACAGCTCTGGATCTAAGCCACAAGCTTACTCCTCTCCCTATCATAACGGTTCCTGAGAGATATCTGAGAAAGCAACAAAGCTTTGCAGAGCACAGGATAAAAACTACAATAAAAAATTTAAATTGTAAATCCTGCCATGAAAAGATGGCTGTGCTACTGAAACTGGCAGAGCCACTACACTAGAGCTTCAATAATAGATTTTATATGTATACTTTTACCTAAAATTACATTTTCAGGTGGCATCTATTATATAAAGCAAAGTCAAGCTTTAATTGTAGCTATTTTTTCAGAGCACACTTATATAATCTGGGAATGGTGGTGCTACTGGTGCTAAAATACTTTTCATTTACTATTTTAAAAAGCAAATTTCAGATTGGTCTAGATTTTTCTTCATAAATTATGTAATTATAAATAAAGTCATAATATGTTTTATATATCATTATAAAATAATTAATTTTCTGGTTTAAATTTTTTTCTTTTTGTATTGTAGTTTGCCAGGGTTTGGATACCTGATCCTGAGGAAGTTTGGAAGTCAGCAGAACTGCTTAAAGATTATAAACCAGGAGATAAAGTCCTCCTGCTTCACCTTGAGGAAGGAAAAGTAAGAATCTCATTTTCATTTATTGTCATTGGCCTAAAGTGAAGGCAGTTCGAAGTGTAAGTTTACTTTGACTTACTTAAGCCTAATTAGAAGTTAAATTTTGAACTAATCTAAAATTTTTACTTGCTAAATTGATAAAAATGGCAAATTCAATTTTCTGTTCTAATGGAGTTATCAATGACATAGATTAGTAAAATTAGCAGGTACTTTAAAAATCTTTTATTTTGGCCTATGAATTTATTATGGTTTAGAATCAGGTTTAGATTCACATCTAATGCTAAAACTCTTAGACTTATCTGGTATCCTGTGGGGAATTACACTGTTTTTAAAAAGAGGAACCATGCAGGTTTTAAAGAAGACTCATTTGTAGCAGCATGGAGAATGGATTTCAGGAGAGCAAAACTGAGGGGAGGGGACTGGTTGGGAAAAAGGCAGGGAAAAATTAGGCCAAATTAGGAGGGCTTTGAATGCCAAACTAAGGAATTAATTTATTCAACATTTATTAGTAGTCTGCTCTGTGTTAGACACCATATTAGGCACTTTGGACTGTATTTTCTCATGTTGAGAAAATAGTCACTATTTTCCAAATAAGGAAGCCAAGGCTCAGAGACATTAAGTAGTTTTGCCCAAGGTCATGCAGCCAGGAAGTGACTTTTGGAATTTCAAGTGGAATTTGAATGCAGAATTTTTGACTCTAAGGTGAGTGCTTATTCTATTTGACGATGTTAGATTTTTGTAGATAGTCTAAAAAGTGGATGGTTTCAAGATACACATCTGACAGATAGCCATGCTTAGTTTTCAGAAACTATTTTGAAATAGTTTTAGACTTACAAAAGAGTTGCAAAGATAACAGAGTTCTGCATACCATTTACCCAGCTTCCCCTAATTTTAATATCTTACACAACCAATATACAATAATCAAAATAGGACATTACCATTGATATAAGACAATTAATGAACTACAGACTTTATTAGGATTTCACCAGTTTTTCTACTAATGCCTCATTTTGTTTCAATGTTGGGTCACAGTTTGCATTTTAATCATCTCATCTCCTTAGTCTCCTCCAATTTGTGGCAGTTTCTCAGTCTTTCTTTGTCTTTCATAACGATGGCAGTTTTGAAAATTGTCGTTCAAGTATTTTGCAGAAAGTCCCAGCAGCTGTTTCCTCATGATTAGGTTAAAGTTATCACTTTTTGGGAAGAGTGCCATAGAAGTGATGTGATCATCTCATTACATCATATCAAAGGGTCTGTGATGTCATTATGTCTCCTTACTGGTCATATTAACCATGATCACTGGTTAAGGTGATGTCTGCCATGTTATGCATTTTAAAGCTACTATTTTTCCCTTTGTAATTATGAATGTCACTGTTTGGAGGGGAGATATTTTGAGGCCATGTATATATCTGTTTCTCCTTAAACTTTGCTCACTAATCTTAGTGTTCATTATTGTGTCTTGATCACTGTGGTATTCTAATGGTGATCCTCCATTTCGTTACTTCCTTCTACATTCATTCATCCATTCATTGTTTATTTTAAATTTTAATAGATTTAGGGGATGCAAGTTGAATTCTGTTACATGTGTGTGTTGTATAGTGGTGAGTCTGGGCTTTTGGTGTACTCACTACCCAAGTAGTATACATTGTACCCCATAGGTAATTTTTTTTATCCCTCATTCCCCCCTTCTACATTTATTAATTGGAATTCTTACAGGGAAGTATTGTTACTTCCTCCCCATTTATTTATTGATTCAGTAATTTATTTTATTATGGGCTCGTGGGTATTTCTTTTATTCTTTATTACTATCATTATTTATTTTATTACTCAAATTATTCCAGCTTTGGTCATTGAGAGCTCTCTTAGATTAGTTCCTTTGCCTTTTTGACAAGCCCCCATCCTTTTCTTCTATTCTTTTCTTTTTTTAATACAGCATTTCTTTACTTTCTGGTACCACAAGATACTTATATTTTCCCTGCCCCAGCTCTGGTACATTTTACTGGAGGATGGTATTTGGCAACCCAAATCTGAGCACTAGGTGTGCTCATTGCTTTGGAATGGCACTGCTTCTAGGCTTTCTTAGAATACAGAGCTAGAAAAAATATATGTATATATGGATACTAATATGTATGCATACTATACTAATGTATATACACCCATCTATACTTATTTCTGTGTCTATGTGTATCTATATATTTTTTTAAAACCATGAGTTCATAGTGATTCTTTTTTTTCCAGTCCAATACCATAGGGTCTATTCTGTTATTCTCCCTTTGCTTATTTGTACTATAACTTCTCTCTTTGGCTTTTATTATCTGCAACATATTACTTATTTGTCATACATGTAAAGTTATTTCAGAATTGCTAGTCTATACCCCATGAGAAACAAATTTACCAACCAGAGTATATATAATATTGATATTTAATTTTATTAATCCTTAATTCTTGAAAAAAATCCAGAAATAGAATGATATATTTAATAAAAGTCTAGGAGTAGAAGACAAACAAGAAGAATAAATATTATAAAATTCACCGAGTATCCAAGAATCGTTCTCCTTTTAGGAACCATAGTCACTTAGGGTCCTAGAATAAAATAGAGAAAACATGGCTTTGTAATATTAGAAGAGTACATTTATTTGATGATTTCCAGTGATTTCAGAGGAGCAAGTTATATCCATTTTAAGCCTAATTCCAAGAAGGAAATTTCCATGAACATGTTAGATGATCTTCCCACATTTTATAATAGTGTCTCCTCTAATATCTCAATTCCAACTCCTTCCCACATTGACCACCTGACAACCCCATCTACAAATGAATACTAGGAAGAGAGTTCTGGGTTGGCTTTCTGCCATTCTAGAGTCTTCTGGTTAACACCCCATGATAAACTACATTACCAATTAAATCATGAAGATTTTTGATATTTCTAGATTCCACATCCCTTGGGGCTCAGATTGTTCAGATCTAACACTATGTTTTCATGTTATTAGGGGATAAACATTGTATTAATAGATGAGTAGAAAAGGAGAAGTTAGTGAGGAAAATTTAAAGCACTCAGCTGGGGGCAGCCAGGGAACGGGAAATTGTGTATTGACAGGGCCAATGCAAGGATTGGTCAGCCATGGGGAAGGACATTATACCCTAATAAACAGTCAGAGAGAAATGCTGAGGGGCAGATTGTAAATTTTTCTCTCCTTTAGCATAATTCATTCAAATCTGACTTGAATATTTGACACCTGTATGTATCTTTAATATTAACAAAACTGCCTTTTTACAAACCATTTTGTCTTTCCCTACAATTAAATTGCATTGTTTTTCTTTTTACTCGTCTTATGTTATTTGCCCTTAATACATAGTTGAGTGACAATTTCCATGTTTGACTTTGCCATAAAGCCATATTCTTCATGACTTTAAAGTAAATAGGTACTTCTTAACTTTTGGGACTAGATGCCTTGTTGAAACCTAATGAAAACTATGAACTGTCTTTCCCCAAAAAAGTATACATATATGTATATGTATACACATATATGCACATTTATACACACATGCACATATACACAAAGTGTTACACATAATTTCAGGAGATTCTTGGGTCTCCCATGGTTCAGGAGTTCCTAACTAGTTACCACATGCCAGGCATTGCATCATTTAATTTTTACTGCCACCCTGAGAACGCATTTTATGAATGAAGGATTTGGATTAAATAACATATGGAAAAGCACATAAAAAGTAAGTACCAGTGTTAACATTTGGACCCAGGTTGATTGGACCCTAGAGCCAAATTCTTGACTACTCTTTTATATTGTCTGTTACTTATCATGGGTAAAAAGAGGTGGAGGGGGAAGCTCATTTAAAGATTAAAACCCTGTGATCCAATAACTGGACAAAAGAGGTCTAGGCTATGACTTCTCAAACTATATTAGCAAAATTTGTTAATATGGCTGATGAAAAAGAAGGCTCTCCATATTGTTTACATTTCCACCCGTTTCTGTGATATTGGAATGTACTAGCAAAAGAACATGTTTAATAGCTGAGAAGCAAATTGGGAATAGGAAATAAGCAAAATGCATGGGCCTGTTTCATGTTCCTGGCCATGATTCATCTAGTTGCTGTATTTTGTGCATTTTCAGGATTTGGAATACCGTCTAGATCCAAAGACCAAGGAACTGCCTCACTTACGAAACCCTGACATACTTGTCGGTGAAAATGACCTCACAGCCCTTAGCTATCTTCATGAGCCTGCTGTGCTCCATAATCTCAGAGTCCGCTTTATTGATTCCAAACTTATTTATACATATTGTGGTAAGTATGCTTTGCTTTCCGAGTGCACTGTGAACTCTTTCCTCTAATGAGCATAGATAGCCACGTAAATATTGTGCGTGGGAAAAGTAGGCTGTGGTTGAATTTTCCCTTAGAGACAAAATTACTTCAGAGTTATCAAAAAGATTTAACAGTATTGATTGGCCAAGTTGCATTTTATGCTGAATAAACTCACTTGTGAACTTACAAAATTTTGCTCAAAATAAAAATAACTGGGCCTATTTTTGGATTTTTTTCTCCCACAGAAGTCATATGTCAGATTTAGTACTAAATTCACCATTTATTTTCGTATCTTATAAAAACCACTAGATGAAGAGTAGATGCCCAAGGACTTTCCGTAGGAGCAGGTTCAGGAAGTTTAGCGTTGTCTTTTTCTCAGTTACTTTAGCAACACAGGACTGACTTCACTTGTGGTAGTTCGTCTTGCTTGTTCTGCTTGCCTGGGCCCCTGCTCATTGCACTATTAGCTGCCAGCCTCCCAGCTCATGATGCTTTTTGATGCTTTTTATTGCTTTTAGAAATGAAGCATGTGCATGTGTATATTAGTTTGTGTTCCTTTCCCCCTTCTCAGTTTGTTCTTATCCTTTATTTTCTCCTCCTTGTCTGGCTCTTTTTTTTTTTTTTACTGACCTTTTATTTTTATTTCACTAATTGGTCTCTCCTCCAAAGCTCAGGTCTAGATTTCCACTCATTTTCATTTAAGTTCATTTGCTTGGTGCACCCTACTCAGTGCTTGTCATTTCTTCATTGCTCTTCTGTTTTGGACAAGAGCAGCCACATTTCCTTCTTAAAAGAATTTACATCCTTTATATACTTGATATTAACTCTTCTTCTTCCCTATTAACAGAATATTTCATTTTCTCAATTTTCATGTTTCTTCAATTTATTTTTTTCTTGCACATATGTTACCTTCTCAGTAATGTCTTGCCTGGCTGCCTGATCTAAATTATAAACCCCTCCTTCTCCTTCTTACTGTCTTCCTTCCCTATTCTCCTTTTTCCTTATACTATTTAACCTGTGATTATACTTATATATATTTTTTTCTTACTTATCTAGTTAGTTGTGTGAATATAAGCTCTGTTTGTCTTTTTTGGTTTACTGCTGTAAACCCAGTACTTACAAAAGACTTGAAACATAGTTGGAGCTGAATACATATTTGTTGAGTGAATGACCTAATTAAATTAATATATACCTACCGAAATATTTTTAGGAAACACAGAGAAGTATAAAAAAGAAAAAAATTACATGTAATTCACCACTGAAAAATAACCAGTATTTTCTTGACTAATATCCTTTCTATGTGTATGTGTAAGAAGGTATAAGTACATATAAAATTAGAATCAAAGTTTATATATATAGTTTTGTATCCTGTTTTCCTATGACATTTAGTAATCTTTAAAAACATGATTTGTGGTGGTAGCACAATAGTCTGTCATATGGATGTAATAAAATATATCACCTACTCTCCTTGTATTAGATATTTTGTTTCCATTTTCACTGTTAGAAATGATATTATGATAAATATCTTTGTAAAAAAAATATCTTTGTGTGAATTTTTGATTATTTCATTTGGATAAATTTCTAGAAGTGGAATTTTTAGATTAAATATGATGAAAATATTTAAAGTTCTTATAAAATTACTACATTATTTTAAACAACCTAGTCCAGTTTTTAAATGGTATTTTAGTTAGGACTATTATAATGGGTTCAGAGGCAAAGTCTATAGTACATTTTGGTCCTTGAATAATTTATTAGTTTAATAGTAACTAAATTGAAATGAAGTTTTGTTTTAACTGTGAGTCTCATTTTACCAAGTTTGACATGCCTATTAGGATATTGTTGACTTCTTTTTCTTTCTTGTCTACCTCTCCCAGGTATAGTCCTAGTAGCTATAAATCCCTATGAACAGCTACCTATTTATGGAGAAGATATTATTAATGCGTATAGTGGTCAGAACATGGGCGATATGGATCCACATATCTTTGCAGTAGCGGAAGAAGCTTACAAGCAAATGGCCAGGTTGGTGGAAGCTTTCATTGTTATTTCATGGCTCTTATGTGACAATTCCTTCTTTGCTAAGTTACAGACATGTTAAAGTGAATGGCAACTTGTAAATAATTATTAAATAAGCAGCCTTGGCCAATTTGTCTCAGACAGCCTGAATTATTATTAAATATTAAAATAATCTCACATTTATAAAAGGATGTATAGTCTTTAAAAACTACCTTTGGAATCTCATCATGATCCTGTACTAGGCAAGGATGTTACGTTTTACAGATGAAAGGATTAAGTTTAATGGTATTGAGTGACTTACCCCATGTCACTCAGCTAATGAATGACAAGTCGGAACAAAGAGGCCTACAAGCAGGAAAAAAATCTGTATTCTGGAGAATTATATCTAAAAGAAACTGTAAATTTTAATACTAGTATTATTTGACAGGGCATCAGTGATTCTGAACAGCATCTACAAAATATCTCTGATATTAACCATGGAAGCCTAATATTTTGAGGGTGGAAAATGGGAGAAAAATGCTACTTTCAAGACTATACTCTTAATAATATGATGTAATGTAAAACTGTGAATGCGAAGAAGAATGATATATATTTAACTCACTTCTACAGCCTACAAAGCAGAACTTGGCATATTATAAATATGATACAGGGAACCCTCAAGCAATTAATGAAGTAGAAAGAAAACTAATACAGCAGAGGTTTTTATTTTCTCCTCTCCAGCCAGGAAGAGTGTACATGATTGGACCAGCGTGTGACAGAATTTTAGAATTGTTTCAGTGACAGAGCCCATAGAAGTCATTATGCCCTTTTAATAATAAGATAATATTAATACTAATACTTCTCGTAGCAGCTAACAGTTATTATGTGCCCTCTCTGTACAGGGGATTGTTTAATTGCTTTCCATTTATTAACTAATTTTATCCTCATAGCATCTTTCAGAGTTTGATGTTATTATTAATCTTCATTTTATAAATGAGAAAACTGAAGCACAGAGAAATTGTGTAATTTTTCTAAGATCACATAACTAGGAAGACCAGTTTTCAAATTCCGTAGTCTTCTGACACTATGAGATATTAATATATTAAATATAAAATGACCAAACATAGTTTAATACTACAAAACATGCCATATTTGTGCCAAATTCTGCTATAAAATAGTAATGAGTGTTCAAAGTTTAAGAAAAGTTATTTTTTAAGCTTAAAATTGAGAAACTTCCACCTATAATTTTTTTCCTTAAGTTGGAACAGACTACCAGTATTTGATTTGTGTGGTATTGGCGCATTGCAGTACAACTTTGGCACTACTCAGTACAACCTGAGAACTACTGGGCAGAGAGGAAATCACATGGAGTGCTAGGCCCTAAAAATAGTCTCTGAAAATTTGGTCGTGCTCAGAGAATTATATGACTCCTTGGAAATACTATTCTTAAATACAAAAGCATGGCTCTTACCATCTTTGTTACTGGTAATCCACAAATAGTATTAGATTTATATGAATATTTCTGGTTTTTTAACCTTAGATTTACTGTGATTTCCTGTCATTTACCCCTTTCATTATTACCCACTGTGACTCAATCACTCAATGTGATTTATTAACTGAAGATTTGTTTGTCTTTTTCCCTTTGCTTAGTTTTCTCTTTTAGGCAGTTTTAAAATACACTTCAGTCAGTTATGGTATTATATTTTTCATTTATATGAATAAATTTATACCCATAAAATTTACCACTACAGTTAAATAGTCATCTCTACTTAGGCTTACAGTCATATATTGATGCTACGTGATCATTTCTTGCTATTTTTTTCTTGCCAAAAGAAGATGTTATCTTTACCAGATATGAATACTGGTATTTCACATTACCACTATTCCTGGAGGCCCCTCACATCTTCAGGGAAGGTACAATTCAGTTCATCCAACAGGAATTTATTGAGCACCATCCAAACACCAGGCACTGTTCTGTGTATGGGGAAACATAACAATGAATAAATTAGACAAAATAGACAGAAATTCTTACCCAGGAAGTGAGGCATGATAAATAACAAAAATAAATAAAACATAGTTTGTCACATGACATTGTTGGATGATTGATAAAATTGAAATATAGACTGATTAGGTAATGGTATTATATCAATGTTACATGTGCTGATTTTGATCATTGTGGCTATGTAAGAGTATGTCCCTGTTCTTAGGAATTATACTCTAAAAGATGTAGGAGTCATCATGTCTGCAACCTACTATCAAATGTTTCAGAAAATATTAGAATAAGAGAAACAGATTAGTAAAGCAAATGGATAAAAGCTAAACAATTGGTGAATCTGAGTAAAGCATATGTGGAAATTCATATTACTATTTTTGCAATTTTCTGTAAGTTTGAAATTATATTAAAAATAAAGTTATCAAAAAAACAAAAAGAAAAGACTGTACTGGGACAAGGGTAGAAGCCAGGAGACTAGTTAGGAGGTTATTGCATTGTTCCAAGCAAGAGGAGGAAATTAATGGAGGAGGAAATTTAGTTGAGGAGGAAATTAGTGAAGATGGTAAGAAGTGGCTGGATTCTGGATATATTTTTAAGATAGAACTGGCAAGGCCTTGCTTATGTGAGGTATGAAAGAAAGAGGACAGCAGGATTTGGTCTAAGCACCTAGAAGGTTGGAGTGGCCATTTACTTAGATGGAGAGGATGGCAGGAAGAGCAGGTTGTGATGTGTGTGGGATAGGGGGTAGGGAGGAGGGGTGGAGTTCCATTTTAGATCTTTAAGTAAGGTTGAAATGGTGTTTTAGACATCTGTCCTCAAGCACAGCTGACACTAGTGATTCTTTCCAAGCGGGTATATGTTCAATGACAGTGGCAATAACCAAGATCCTTGGCTAATGGCTCCTTTCTAAACATGTTCTTTAGAATAATGCCCTCATAAAATACCTCCCTGGAATAGCCTCTTAATTTTACCTGTCCTGTTGACTTGCAGAGGAGAAAAACTCAGTGGACTGTCGTGTCTATTTTTCTTCTCGTGTTTTTGTTTCACATTCTTGCTAGTCTTTTCTCATGCTGGAAGTAACTGTTCTCTAATAACTAAGTCACAATATTATTTTTCTTAAAACATCAGAGTTTTTTGTTTCCTTACAACCAGGTAGTATTGATTTCTTTAATTTGCTATATTTTCTCTCTACTGCGAATGGTAGAGTAAATCAATTTTATTGATTAAGTTTCACTTGTAGGTTTTCTTGAAATAAGTTAGTTATATGCAATTAACCTTAGTATAGTGAAAAAGATAATCTGTACTCTTTGCATCTCTACCAATAACTAACTATATAAGCATAAATCTCCTGATCTTTCCGGGTCTCCGTTTTATCGCCTGTGAAATGGGACAATTTCACTAATGGTCTAGCTTTGCATTTGCAGTATTCTGTGATATGCACTTGTTATCTGTGTGTTTGATGGAGACATAAGCATTTTTCTTCTACTTTCTTCCATGGCAGACCATGGTAAGGAGCTGTGTAGAAAAGCAGAAGGAGCATAGTGCAGACTTTCCCCTGGAAATCGGGAGATGAGGGGTGCAACAACCCAGATCTGCTCTTCTATACAAGTCATCAGCCTTGGATAAGCCGTCTAACCTTTCTGTGTTATTGTTTCCCCCAAAAAGGAAAAGATAATGTCTGTTCTGCTTACTTCAGAGGTGAAAATTATATTAGATGATAAACACAAAAGCACTTTGAAAAATACTAAGTAGTATTCAAATATTAGCTGTTTCTATCCTCATCATAATCATCATTATAGAATGCCATGTATACATTCTTTTTATGGACTCTAGCCTCTCATCTAGTTTTCCTGACTTTATGGTCAGGCCTTTCCTTAGGGTGGCCCCTTCTTTCATTTGGTTACGTGGTCTCTGAATATGCCACTGTCCTGAGGTTCACTGGCCAAGTGGAAGCTGGCTGTCATAGATTATAAAATCTCTCCCGTTAGCAACTGTGACTCAGCTACCATGTGGTGCCAGATGTCCCATTTATGCGAATAGGCTTGATGTAATACATGGTGCTTGATAAGGAAAATTTTATATATGGTATATAAAGGTGGATTAACATATTAATTAATAGCTACCACTTTTAGATGGCTATTATGTATCAATTAGGGGTCAGGCATGTTACCTCTAATCCTCATTATTTTCTTGGGAGCAGATAGTATCACCCCTGCTTTACGGGTGAGGAAACAGAAAAGTATCTCACTCAGGCTATAATGCTCATAAATGGTATCTGGGAGCTGAGATTTGAATCTATCTCTGAAACTCCAAAATTTTGTCATTTAGTTTTCTTACTTTCAAATATCTGGGCCTATTCAAATAGGCCTATTCCCTCAAATTAACATTAAGTAGTTTGGTTTCTGCATCTTTTATTCAGCCTAGAATGTCCTTCTCTGTGCTCCTTTATCTGGCTGATTTATATTTATCCTTCATGATCCCATTCAAGTTTAACTTTCAGACCACCCCAGCTCATAGTAAATGATTCCTCTTAGCATTATTTATGATGTGAGTATCTTAGTCTGTTTTATGCCAGTATAACAGAATACCACAGAGTGGGTAATTTATAAAGAACAGAAACTTATTTGGCTCACAGTTCTGGAGTGTGGGAAGTCCAAGGTTGAGGGGCCACATCTGGCGAAGGCCTTCTTGCTACGTCACCCCATGGTAGAGGGCAAGAGAGAGATGAGAAAGGGGCCAAACTCATTCTTTTATCAGGATGCCACTCCTGCGGTAACTAACCCGCTCTTCAGATAATGGCATTAATCCATCTATGAGGGCAGAGCCCTCAGGACCTCGTCACCTCTTAAAGGTCCCACCTCTCAACACCATTGCATTGAGGATTAAGTTTCCAACACATGAACTTTGGGGGTTACATTCAAACCACAGCATTGAGCTGCTCACTTGGGACTTACTGAGTACTATCTACCATGTAAGATTGCAGTAGGAGTAAAATACAATATGAATTAGAGCACCATAGTGTGTAAAAGTTATAAACAAGTATAATTATCTATTTCTCATCTTTATATATTGTATAGGCTCTGTACTGATGGAACAGAAAGCTCAGGTTGACATGCGATGATCTGATAGCCACGTGACAGGCTTCTCACCAGGAATCGAATGACCGTAGCAAGTCATTCTAAGGAACACTTGTTTTCATTTCCTGAATAGTCTCTCTGCCTCTCTACAGTGCAGCTTTCAGCAGTGCCAGCACCCTCTTCTATAGTAAATATTTATACTTCAAAAATAAAACTGAAATATTGTAATTGTTAACTCATTGTCTATTTTCAACTTTAGGGTTTAAGTATTTTCTTCTTGAGGCTAATTAAAAGTAGAAATCATGGAGAGACAACAGAACAGAGCAGCTTGATTTTCATGAGTGATAATGTAGAGAAAATTAGCATCTGTCTAATGAGAGAGAGGGATTAGAGTCTCAGTGATGCACATCTTTAAGTGAGCACAGTAAAAACACAGCTTTGGAAGAAAGCATTTTATTATACTAACTTAATATTTTCTGTCTTTCACAACGGATCAGATAAAGGGAGAAACAGATTGTTTGCCTGCAAAATAGTAAAACTCTAGATTTTGTTTCACATGAACATATTTGCTTGCAAACTAAAAATTTAGACCTAGTGCTGGTATACTTTATTAAGGTACATGGAAACACCCAATGGATGGTTATCAGAGAATTAACAGCAACATGGATGGAAATATTAAATTGTGTTCCATGTTAGGAACACAATGCTGAGGCCAGCATTACTTAGTTTCCTCATTAATAACCTGGATATAATTGAAAATATGCTGGTTAAGTTTACAGTGGTCAAGTTGATGGTCTTGGAAGATATATATAGTATTCAGTATGACCATGATAAACTAGAGAGAGTACATTTTTTAAGGGGTAAAGTTCAAAAGGAAAATCTATAAAATAATATATGTGTTACAAAATGAAAACTTTATAGGTGTAATGAAAGATTGGACAGACCAAATAGATATGCGGTCACTGATGACCATAAAAGGAAAGTAGATCAAAATGTAACATATCTCTCTTTCATCCTTGAATAATTCTTTCCTGGGGTTTCAGGTACCTCTGCATAGTTTAATTCCTATTTTCTTCTTCCCACACAACCTGGTTTTCTCCTAATTATCATGTAAGAATCAATTCAGGCATCACCTTCTAGCCTTTCTTGACATCCCCTTATCACATCTCCTACTAGTTCCATGTTGTTCCTTTAAATTCATAGTGTCCTGGGTGGACCTTTTTTAAAGCAATTACTCCTAACTGTATTTTAACTGTGTATTTTTTTAGTCTCCCCCAAAGTCTATAACCCTAAGATCTTTTATTTCCATAAAGTGGTAGGCACATTGTGGCTGCTCATTACATGTTTGTTGAATGACTGAATGAAGTAGTATTTTTTAGTAGGGGCTTTTAGTTCTCATTAGAACCTCTGGAATCACCACTGACTGAAACAGGTCAGAAGAGCTTACCTCTATCCCAAAGCATTCAGTACCCAGCCTATTTAGAATTGCATTTGAGGCCTTTGAGAGGACTGGCAAAGCCAGAAATCAAAAATCTATCATTACTCTATTTTCCAGCCAAAGTGAATTATCTGCTCTTTCCTAACTTCTTATGATTCTGAGACTTTATTTATGTTATCCCCTTTTCCTGCCCTCCTCATTCCTTGCTTGCTTTCTCGTACTCATTTTTCTAGACCTTGCTCAGGTGTCATCTCTAGGGAACCTTTCCTGATCACCTATTCCTCCTCTCATCAGTGCACCATCACATTTTATTATAATCTTGAATTACTGGCCCATCTTTCCTGTTAGACCACTGTCTTAGTCTGTTTTCTGCTGCTGCTGTAACAGAATATCACAGACTAAGTCATTTATAAACAACAGAAGTTTATTTAGAGCAATGGTTCTGGAGGCTGGAAAGTTCAAGAGCATGGTGCTGGCATCTGGCCAGGGTTATGCCATGGCAGAAAGGCAAGTGAGCATGCGAGACAGAGAAAGGGCGTTGGGCTGAACTCATCCTCTTATCAGGAGCCCACTCACGCGATAACTCACTCACTCCCACAATAACAGCATTAATCCATTCACAAGGGCTCCTAGTCGTCTCTTAAAAGCCCCACCTCCCAATACCATCACACTAGCAATTAAATTCAACATGAATTTTGGAGGGGGCATTCAAACTACAGCAACCATCAACTGCCTGAGAATACAGATCATGGCTTATTTAACTTGTCTTTGAATGAAATCAGCCGGCAAATGTACTATTTCTTCTCTGGTGATGAGGATACTGTAGTAGGAGCTGGAGTTTGTGGAAGATACCACTTTATGGATTGTTAGCAAGTAGGCAATTTGAAAATAGTTTTGTAATTTTAATTAAATAGATTTTTCTTCTAAATTCCTTTGCTGTGACTGCAAAGAATATCTTCTTTCTCTTCTGAAGTGGTTGACAACAGTACTGTAAGATATGAAAGTAGTTCTCTAGGAATGAAATAGTTTGTTTGAGATATGTACACACCAACAAATTCAGAGATCCTTTACTGCAGACTCATCTTTAGATGTGATGCTCTCTAATTTAATACTTGATCTCTTCTTCCTTTCTGTTTATTTTTAGTTTATAAGTAGACATTCTTATTAGGAAATATTATTCTATGCTTCTTTCCACATTGTTGCATGTATGAGCTAGCAGAAACTCACTGTGCCTCACCAATGAAAACAGGGAGGAAATAATATTAATCACATTCTAAAGTGGGCAGCACTGGCATTTACTTTTCCTTGTTTTACAGAGATGAACGGAATCAGTCCATCATTGTAAGTGGAGAGTCTGGTGCAGGAAAAACAGTGTCAGCTAAGTATGCCATGCGATACTTTGCAACTGTAAGTGGTTCTGCCAGTGAGGCCAATGTTGAGGAAAAGGTTTTGGCCTCCAACCCCATCATGGAGGTAAGACAGCAGCATCCTTGGCTTTCTTACTATATTCTTTTGTTAAGAAACATGCTCAAAAAATTGATTGATACACCAGGTGTCAGCCACTAAAATTAGGAAACTACTTTGCCACATGTTAGTAAGAAATCTAGGAAAAGTGAAAATTCAATAAGGTAGACATTTTGAGTAAAGCCCAGCTAGAGAGGAATCTGTTTTAGTCCATAATCCTGAATTTTTAACCTGCCAACTAAATTGTTGTCTCTAAATACCAGGCTGCAGTACTTCATTTTCTAAAGTTTCTTTCTCCTAGTTAATTCAATCATATCTATTGTTCCTTGTACAAGAAGTACAAGTTACTCATTTCCTCCCATCCTGGGTTCTTATTTATGCTCCTTCCAAAACATAGGATTTATTATGCTCAAGCATGAATTGAGTTTCATTATTCCTTTACCCACATTTTATTTTCTGTACTTAGTCTAACCTGTTCAGCTATAAATTTTTATTTTTTTCCAGATTTGAGCTTAAACTTTGTAAACTTTTTTTTTGTTGTTGTTCAAGCGTATTACAATCACACAGCTGTAGGTTAGTAAAAGAAATTCAGTAACTGTAAGTTTTTGAGAGGGGAAGAACTATGAAAGGATATATTAATACTTTTAAAAGTCAAATAGAAACAAAAAAATTCAAATAGATATACAAAGTAGAAATGCCTATGCCAAAGAAAATGGAACTAGTTATATGAGAATTCGAGTATTTTAAGATTTGTAACCAGAGCACTATATGTCTATTAATATAGTTTTAGGAAAGTTATAGTTTTGTAAGAAGACCCATGAAATGGAGAAAAATAAGTTTCATTAAATGGAAAGAAATTAGTTTGGAAATGCGGAAACAAGCCTTTCTTGTTAGAAATTCAAGTCAGCATTTTTTATTCCTGTCTTTTTCCTTTGTGAAGTCTTATTTGTCACCCAAACACAGATGGAGTTAAAAACTGGCCTGGTGCACCTGTGGTACAAGTGGTTTTTGCAATAATCTGTCTAGAGGTAATTGTGCCTGGTTTGCAGTGCTGTGTGTGACACTTTAAAACAGAATGCTGTGATCACTTCTCTATAGGGCTGCCCCCTAGAGCAACAGTACTTCTACTCTGGGGATCGAAAGACAAGAAATGATGGGGAAGTTGAGAGGCTTCCTGTGCTCGGCGTGCTATGGAAAGAAAACTGGAGAAGTTTTCTGAAATATCATGGATAGGAAGAAACAGATGTTTGTGTGAAAAGAGGATAGTGAAGATTTTAAACAAATATTAGGGTTTTGAAAGAATTTAAGCTACAAATACAGTAGTGGATGCCACTGGTGTTGATATTGGGGAAATAAAATGTATGGAGCCAGTTTTTGGTTTGGGGTCAGAAAACAACAAGGGCTTTCTTTGCTTCCTACCATTGTTTTGACTGGTTTTGGTCATAACAACAGATTCTTGGTATTTGGCAACCATTCAGACTATTCTAGTTCCTAATACTAGAATATCCTAAAGTTTTGATTGTAATGGCATTAGGGCATCTCATTTCTTCTAGGCCTGAACCATATATTATTATACTAAGACGTGAAGTTGTCTTGAGGATCACTTAAATCTGGAATGAACCTTCTATAATTTTTGAAAAGTTGAATGAACTATTTTATGACCCCTTTCAAAAAACAGCTTCATTGGATTTTCCACAACACAGATTTGAGTTGTGTTAGTGGGAATGATATAAAAAATTTGGAGTGGCCACTGTCTTAGTCTGCTTTGTGTTACTATAACAGAATATTTGAGGATGGGTAATTTTTGAAGAAAAGAACTCACTCACTGTAGGAGAACTGCACCAAGGCATTCATGAGGGATCCACCCCCATGGCCCAAACCCATCCCTCTAGGCCCCACCTCCCAACACTGCCACACTAGGAATTAAATTTCAACATGAGTTTTGGTGGGACCAAATCATATCCAAACCAAAGCTACAGATACTATTTTTTTTTTTTTTTTTTTTAAGACAGAGTCTCACTGTGTTGCCCGGGCTAGAGTGCCATGGCATCATCCTAGCTCACAGCAACCTCAAACTCCTGGGCTCAAGCAATCCTCCTGCCTCAGCCTCCCGAGTAGCTGGGACTACAGGCATGCGCCACCATGCCCAGTTAATTTTTTTTTTCTATATATTTTTAGTTGTCTAATTAATTTCTTTCTAATTTTAGTAGAGACGGGGTCTCGCTCTTGCTCAGGCTGGTTTCGAACTCCTGAGCTCAAACAATCCGCCCGCCTCGGCCTCCCAGAGAGCTAGGATTACAGGCGTGAGCCACCGCGCCCGGCCTACAGATATTATTTTTAATATGCAGTTATATGGAATATGTCTTATTTGCTGGGATGAACAAAAAAGGTAAAGGGATCAGTTATATTTAGCTACTTCTATATTATTGTTTAGTCTGTCTACAGGAATTTGGATTAAGAAAAATTTGGTAAAGAATTAGAGAACTAATTTTCAACAACTGCAAAAAAGGGCATCTCAATTTGAAAAACTAAAATGGTATATGGAGCTGAAGAATGGTGATAAAGGGTTTACAAAAACACTGGAAGAAGACATAGGTAAAATACTGAGTATAGCATAGAAAACTTGTAGCTTTAAACTTCCTTCAAGACTGTGTCTCTATATCAGAGCCCTTTACTGTGATGTCAAGAAAGGGATATCTGAGACCAGGTGCAGTGCCTCATGCTCATAATCCTAGCACTCTGGGAGGCCAAGCTGGGAGGATTGCTTGAGCTCACGAGTTTGAGACCAGTCTGAGCAAGAGTGAGACACTGTCTCTACAAAAAATAGAAAAATTAGCCAGGTGTGGTGATGCACACCTGAGTAGCTGTAGTTACAGCTACTCAGGAGGCTGAGGTAGGACGATCACTTGAGCCCAGGAGTTGGAGGTTGCAGTGAGCTATGATGATGCCACTGCACTCGACTCTGTCTCAATAGAGAGAGAGAGAGAAAGAAGGAAGGAAGGGAGGAAGGGAAAATGATCTGCCAAAACTGCTCATTGGATAATGAGCTTCCTGCATGGTTAACATCACAGCCCAGCAGTTAAAGGGATTTGTGTGTTATCTTTTAGAAAGGAAGCTCCTCATCGTCAGCATAGGCTTCTTTTGCAAACTATTATGATGTCCAGAGAAATGATTCTTTTTACTCTATTCTATCATGTTTACTTTTTTCTGGAAATTTTCTTTGTAAGATGGGAACAGGGAAGTTTTTTAGGGCAATCTGGATCTTAATAGTTCTTTTTTAATCTTCAGTAGTCAGCATTGAAGATTTTCATTTCCATTTAGTAAAGAAAAGTAACTCATGCAACATTTCATTAAAATAGTAAAATCAAGATCACAAAATTTCTTCTTTCCTTTGGCAATTTCTTGCTGATTAAAGTGAAAATAGTACCAGGGAGTCTGTTGTGAATGCAGTACTTACAGGGCAGAGGGAGTGATTGCGGGAGTAGACAGAAGGTACTGTTTATATATAGCACCTTCTTTCCCTACAAGTTCAGAGCTTAGAATCATATAATTTTATTGTTTAAAAGGATCCTAGAGCTCATCCATCCTATTCAGTGTTTACACTTGAAGACATTAATGCCCCTCAAAAAGATTAAATTATGGCAAGTTGGTAGTAGGGCCTGATCTGACACCCAGGTCATCAGACTTCTATTTCGCTTGTTCCTTTTACCATTCTTTGTCTATGTTTAAATACATTTTTCTCAAAGACGAAAAGGTCTGCTTCAACCCTCACCTACTCACTGCCTCTTCTCACAGTATGTACTATGGTTTTGTCAAGTTGACCACTCTGGCTTCCAGTCTAAGTAGATGGGGAGAGATGCCATATGGAAGGTAGGAAAAGAGTTAGGGAAGGAGGAGAAGCTGTGGACCACCCTTCCCCAGTTTGTTTAGTTGCTGGCAGGAAAGTGCTTAGGACAGTACCCAGTAAGCACTCAAGAAACATTACTGCTGCTGCTACTTCTACTACTACATGTAACCTTTCATGTACTGTTTGACAGAATACATTGTGTTGAGAGAAAATTTTATAATTAATCTACTTTTCTACACAAAGCTTTTCTAAACAAAAACAGTGGGAATGTATAGAGACTTTTCCCTGTGTTGTTATATAACATCAAAAAGGGTAATATCTGAGTAAATGTCTAGATAGTTAAATTATCTCAGGCTATATTAGATCATGCTTTAATTTTGCTGGGAAGATACTCTTATTTTTCTAGAAAAGCATTTAAAATGTTAATCTAAAATATAGCAGTGTCCTCATTGCCAAAACAAAATAGGATGATATCTGCTCTCCATTTCAGGGAATGAAAATACCTTTTTCCTGATTGATCAGAGAATCTAATGTGTTGGCTTTTGTGGCTGTGTTACTACTGTTTTCATCACTTACGTTTGTATTGCTCTTTTAAAACTCCAGAGTGTTTTCACATCTTTCTCTCTGCTGTGGTTTTGATGTACTAATCCTAACACAGGCTTTGCACAAATGAAAAATGTTAATCTTATATGAAATTAGCTTATTAAACATTTTATACATTATGTAAACACTTGCTTTTCTAACTACACGCCTTTTTCTTTTTTGCTTTGCCTTAAAAAAAAATTTATAGAAGCATGTTACCTAAATCAGAGAGAAGACATATGCCATTTAAATTTTTAAGGTTATGTAAGTAATTTAGCAGCAAGTTACATTCTCTGCATTCTGCAGCAGATGTTTTACAAGTTAGATACAGCTATCAAAATTCAAAACCAAATTTGACTTTCTCCAGTTTCTGAAAATGGCATTTAAAAATATATATATATATTTATTTATTTAGAAATGGGTCTCCCTATGTTGCCCAGGCTGGACTCAAACTCCTGGGCTCAAACAATCCTGCCTCAGCCTCCAAGTAGGTGGGACTACAGGTGCATGCCACTATGCCTGCCTGAAAATGACATTTATATTGAATGGGTAATACTAATACTATGCTAATAAACAGTCAAACTGGACCTTTGTTACCACAGGATAAGATTATAGACATTCCAGGTTAAAGAGACCCTGAACACCAGAGCAACATTTCCAGGAAAATATTAATTTGTTTTAACCATCTTATTTACATAAAACTAATGAAGTTTTTCAAAAACCTTGATGGTTAACTAACAAGGCTTGTGCCTTGGCAATTCCCAATCCCATCTGTCTCTTTCTTTTCTGGCATGAATGAGTATGTTTGGATACCTCAAATTTTATATGAAAATCTCCCAACCTCTGGGCTTACGTTTGCTATTTCTGAAAATCATTTTTGTGATATTAACAAGACAAATAATAACTATTAGTATGTATCTGTGTGGTTGTGCAATCAGAAAAGCATAGACCTGTATCTGTTCTTAAAAGAATCACAATCAGTGTTATTGTTTTTTTGAGGTTGTTTGTTCGTTTGTTTGTTTTTAAGAGACAGGGTCTTCCTCTGTCATTCAGGCTGGTGTTGGACCTCTGGCCTCAAGCAATCCTCCTGCCTCAGCCTCCCAGAGTGCTAAGATTACAGGGATGAGCTACCGCTCCTGGTTAAAAGAATCAGTTTTAAGGAGTTGTGTTCTACTTTGTCCTTTCTTTCCCTGAACAAACTCTGTAAATATTCCGTTATGAATTGCACTTCTAAAATCTTATTTTCTCTCTTGCTTCTTAGTCAATTGGAAATGCTAAAACAACCAGGAATGATAATAGCAGCCGTTTTGGGAAGTATATTGAGATTGGTTTTGACAAGAGATATCGAATCATTGGTGCCAATATGAGAACTTACCTTTTAGAGAAATCCAGAGTGGTGTTCCAGGTAAGCTGGGCATGTACACATATATACTTGTGTTAGATTGCTGTGTAATTGCACAGCCCATACTTGCTGGTCTGCATTTTCTTTCCAGATACTCTTGAGCATCTTGTGACAATATTGCTACAAACCACACTTGGACTGAAGCATGTAAAATGATGCCTGTTACAGGCAGGCAAATACCCCTTAGACTAACAGTCTTTGGGACTGGGTACTTTTAGGTTTAATAGTTTTGGCTCTTTCCTGCAGATGCTTGTAAAAAAGCTTAGTTAAGGGAGGTGCTATGAGTTTAGCCTTGTTTCTCATATTTCCAAACGATAGGGAAGGTATTGGCCTATGCCTTCGATGAGTTATAGTTTGAACTCAATTCAAGAAAAAGAAATTATCCTTGTCCTCTCCTTTCTTCTTCTCCTTTCTTAGATTATGTTATTGTTTATAATATATACATCCTATCACATAGGATAGTGAGGGTTAAAAATCTTCACAACCCAGTTATGAATTTCTATCATAAAACACACCCAGTCACATCTGTGTAGGATTTGCATTCACACATACACTCTTGGTCCTTTTTGACCTGAAAGTGGGAAATACTATATATTTACAACACTGGCAGGCATATATTTATAGGTATACTAAGGAAGTATGGATTTATCAGTGGAAAACTCCCAGTATAGGGCTCCTATTGACCCACTGCATGACTCATGCTGTGAGACCTGAGGTTTCAGTAGGCCCTTAACTGGATGCTCACTGCATTGAGGTTCAGACATGCCTGGCACTGCCATGCAGCAGTGTCTACAATTTCCATTGCCCAAGTCTGTTATGGCTTTGAAAGCATCTGGGACATTGCAAGAGTTGTGAGTTGGGCAGGCTATAGCTACCTTGGCTGTAACTTTGGGGTTGTGCTTGATTTGTGTCCTCCTTAAAATATAACACTTGATTTGTATAGTAAAGCAGTAGTCTATTGTTCTAATATCTGGTACACACAGAGCAGTGTTACTATACACACGGATATTTCTATAGGTTTTTTTTTAAAAAGCATCTAGTTTAGTAGACAGAAGAAAGAATGGGTGAGACATAGGTAGATCTAAGAGATGATTGAATTCAAATAATGGAGAGATTTGATTGATACGTAAGTGAGTTAGTGGGTAAAAAAGACAGTCCTTGGTCATTCTGGGGAACAAAGGCTAGTAGTGCTTAATACAAAATGGTAAGGCCTAATCCTTATTGTCTTATTAAAAGATGTTGAAGCAATTCTAGCTGCTTCTAGTCGCCAGGGTTATAGAATATTGAGGCTGTTTGGTATGTCAAAATGAATCATACAGTCAGAAAAAAACATACTTGATACTGTTCTTCATGTACAAAGATGACCAAAGCATTTCTGCAGACCCTCCTGCTTTTCTAGTTTCTGTGTACTGAACCACTTGATCTCTTATTTAATCATGCTTGTGATCATTGCTACATTGGTAATTTGTTCAGTGTCTTCTGTCCCTGTAATAGGTTTTCTCGTCCAGACATCAGTCCCTTTTGGGCATCAAACCTGACCTTGGCCTTAATAATACTGTTCTTAACCAACTGAATATACAGCAGAATTCAAGGAAATGATGATAGAATATTAGGGTTTGGTTTTATATACACAATATTACTGCAATTATAATTTTTAGGTATATACGTATATATATGTGTATATATATATGTGTGTGTGTATATATATACATATATACACACACACATATATAGGAAAAGACTCTTAGGAAATACTAAAGAATGACCTTAGAATTATACATTATTTATTTTCTATTTTATAAAATAGTTATTGATTTTAAAACATATAAACTAAAATGATATAGAGGATGTAGTTGTATTTATGGATTTTTTACAAACAACCACGGTAGATGGTCCTCTCTAAAATATGACAAAGATGGGATTATTCTTTTTCAAAGTGTTAGGAAGACCAGGAATCTAAGAGGTACCATTAGAAAATAGTATTGAGTATTGTAAAAAAATGGTTTTAGCTTTCTCCAGAAGCACTGGTATCTTATGACTGTGGCCATATATCAAGCTGTTCACTAGTTCAAAAAGCATTGTTGTCAGATATTTTGTGTTGCGCATGACCAACACACACATACTGACATATATGCATATAGGCTACAAATCATAAGGTTTAATAATTGTAAATAAATATTAGTAAATTTGGGAAAGGGCGATTTATTTCCCCAAGGTAATTAAATATTAAAATTTTCTTTTATGATAGAATTTTTTGAGTTTTAAATTAAAGTGTTATAATTGAAAACTTTTCTCATTTCAAAGGCAGAAGAGGAGAGAAACTACCATATCTTCTATCAACTTTGTGCCTCAGCAAAGTTACCTGAATTTAAAATGCTGCGATTAGGTATGAATATGACATTAGATGTATTGTGCTGGTATTGTTTTCTGTTAATTTCTGAGTTCCTAAACTTACTTGTTAAAAAGGAGCTTATCTCATACTGAAGTATTTATGGATAAAATGTATAAAAATCTGCAGTTGGCTATAAAAATTAACCTATGGAGGAGTAGGGAAGGAGTGAGTAACTGTGTAAGTGGCACAGGATTGGCCTTGAAATGATTTAAGATGAGTGTTTAAGATCTTGTTTAAGATGAATGATGAGTAAGTATAGAGGGGTTCACTGTATTAGTCTCTCTACTTTTGTATATGTTTGAAATTTGCCTTGATTAAAAGAAAAAAAATTAAAGGAGTTTGTCTGATGGGAGGCCTGTAAGGGTTTCTGATGAAGGGAATAAAGTGTTTGAAGAAATTATTCTAGCATGCAGATTGGAATAAAACCTTTAGGAAAGGACTGTTCATTTCACCGATTAAGATAAATAAACTGTGTAAACATTTCATTCCATTATTTAATTTTGTTTTCTATTAAAATATAATTGAAAACACAGGCTGCCAAACTCCAGACCCTGTACACTTAACTGTGCTATCACTACTTTTAACTCAGTGTACATAAGAGAAGCCAAGCCTTTTTCATAGGCCGAAAAACCTTTATTTTTCTTCATTGCAGAAAATGCAGATAATTTTCATTATACGATGCAAGGAGGCAGTCCTGTGATTGAAGGAGTGGATGATGCAAAGGAGATGGCACACACCAGGCAGGCCTGCACTTTGCTAGGTAATGTAATTTCATTCTTGAGCTTTTATGAGGAGTAGCTTTTTGACTCTAGCAACCTTTATTTAGAACATCGGCTTGTCTTTGTATTAATGGTAAGTATGGCTGGGAGATTTAGTATTCTATACAGAACACATTTAGATAGCAAATGGGCACAGTGTCTTTTTGGGGTGACGAAACTATTCTAAAATTAGATTACAGTAATGGTTGCACAACTTTGTAAATTTACTAAAACTCATTGAATTGCCCACTTAAAACGAGTGGAAAGTGTGCAAATTAGCCTTCAATAAAGGTGTTTAAAAAAACATATTTGAGCCATTGGGGAGGTAAGACTAACTGTAACTCTTAAATTTTTATAAAATTTCAGTCCTAAAGCTAAATGAAATGAGTTCCTGTACAAGTTCCCGTTTTGTAGGTTTGATTTGGGTTTTTTGTTTTGTTTGGGGAGGGGCTTTTCGTAGCCAGGATATGTGGCTGAGTTGGCATGGTAACAGCACATTGTATTACATGTAGTTTATTCCAACACTTTTGAAACAGCTCAGATACCATTATCTTGTTTCTGGCATTTAAAAAATGTTGGGTCTACATTTGAATAAATTAATCTTTAGAACTATAGTCTACAACTTTTAGAGGCAGATTTTTTAATACCTCAGAATATAAATAACTCTAAAATGCTATGTTTGTATTTTGAGGAGTACCCTCGGGTCAGTTAATTTAACTTAAAAGCATTGCTAATCAGGACCATGGGGCTTACTAGAAATGCACAATCTTTAAACCCTTTCTCAGACCTACTGAACCAGACTTTGTAGTTTAACAAGATCTATTGATGATACATATGCATATTAAAATTTGAAAAACACTGCATTACTTTTAGAGTAAATCCATAAATAGAAAATTGTGAATTTGAAAAAGCCATAATGCCGGAGATGACAAAAACATTCATTATGAGGCCAACTCTCAGTTATGCTGTGTAAGATTACATATTTGGAAATAATTTTACTACTTCTATTTGCATATAATTGTATCTAATATTCTAGAAATTGTTACCTTATTAAAAAATGAAGCCAGATCTGATAAAAGCCAAAGACCATCCTGCCTCCTCATCTTGCCTTATCCTTCAGGTTCTGCTCTAAGGCTGTAATGCTGTGTTTGGACACTCACTCATCAGGCTGGGGCACAATACCAGCCTAAACACTTCTAATCTTGGGATATCTTTGACTTCCACTTGATGTGTAGTTAAAAGAAGTAATTAAATAATCTAACTTAAAACAACCTTTCATTTGGAGTAGAGAGAAATTGTAATAATATTAAGAAAATACTTAAGTCCAATGTGTAGAAATGATGACAATTTGTTTAGCACTTACCATTTGTCACATAGTGCATTAAGTGTGTTATGTGCATTATCTCATTTATCCTCACAAACACCCTTTGAAGTATTTACTATTATTCCCATAACTCAAATGAGAAAATGGAGGAATAGAAGGGTGAAGTTACCTGTCCATGTGAGTTGGTAGGTCAGTAGCAGAGACAGGCATCGATCCCAGATTGGTCACACTAAACAGCCAGGCTATTGCCCATGACTGCCTAATGTGTTAATGTCAACAAACATGAAAGTACTATTGTTAGCTATGACACATTATAATGAGCATAACATTTGGCAATATTTAAGAATTAACAATAGGCTTAAAATTGTCTGCTATAATTTTTTAGTTGCTGTTCTGAAATTAATCACTTGTTCATTTAATGTATTGTTTCAGGAATTAGTGAATCTTATCAAATGGGAATTTTCCGAATACTTGCCGGCATTCTTCACTTAGGCAATGTTGGATTTACATCTCGAGATTCAGACAGCTGCACAATACCTGTAAGTTCAGAACAAGCTTAGTGGGATGGCAGTTTAATTGTGTTTTAGTTTTGTAGATGCTTTATAGTAGCAATATAGTTTGTCTCTCTAGTAACATTATCAGAAAGATAATTATCAAAGTGATATATTATCCAGAGGAAAATCATGAACTGAGAATAAAGAAATACAGATTCTAATTCCTGGTACACAGTGATTGTGTGTGTGTGTGTATGTATGTGAGAGACAGAGAGAGATGGATAAATAGATGAAATTAGTGACTATGATATACATGGCCTTACAAGATCAGAAACTCATAGAAATTAGAGACCTATGAAGGAATATATCATGCTCCTGCTTAAATCCCTCAGGACTCCCACTGCCTTCAGGAACAGGCCTAATACCTTATTTGGCATGACATGGGAGGCCCATCATGATTGGCCCCTGACTTCCTATTCAGCTTCTCTCTCACCACTTCTCACACTTCACACTCCAGCCATTTCCATGCCAAGCTGCCTCTCTCTCCTGCCCTAGCTCAGATTCTCTCTGCTGGGGTAGGTCGATTGCTCTTCTTCCCTGGCTAACTCTTATGCACTAACGTGCAGATCTGGTAGCATCTCTTCTTAGATATGTGCTCCCCCTTCTGCTTTCCCTTATAGTAGCTCAAATTACATTGTTCTATAAAGGTCTCTCTTGCTTGCCTTTACCCACTAGGATTTGAGATCCTTGTGGATGGAGCCATACTATTTATTTTAGTATTCTTAAGGCCTTAATTTAGATGGTTTTTATTCAACTTATTCTTGATTGCCTTTTTTGGATCTATAGCCCCTTTTTTAAAAACAGATTGTCTACTCCTATTAAGAAAAGAATCTATTCCCTGCCTTTTCTGAATGTAGTAGTTTTGTGCTACATAGGATGTGTGAAGCATAATATCAAATAAATGACTTTATGATTTGAAGAGAAACTCTATTCAATATTTATCTATTAGTCAAAGGGTCAAGATCTAGATAGGCAGGGAGTTGGGTTTACAGAAAGCTTGATCCTCATGGATTCCTTTATGGATAGTTAATATGTAATTTTCCTAAGTCGTGGATCTTAATTTTAGATGCATGATTCCCCTCCCCATCCAACCTCTTCTCCTAATGGCATTTTTTTAAAGACAAAATGATGATTCTGATTTAAACCTTGATTTTTTTTCTATTGAAATATCACTAGCCTTTTTAAAAACAAATTTGTTGAGATGTAATTTACATAGTATATTCATTTAAAGTAAACAATTAAATGGTTTTTAGTATATTCACGGGCATGTGCAACCATTACCATAATCGATTTAAAATATTTTCATTACCTCACAAAGAAACCCAGTACCCTATACTTATTGCGTCCTTATGCCCTCGTTCTCCCAGGCCCTATGGTTTCAGCAAAACCATGAATCTATTTTCTCCTGCTATAGATTTGCCTATTCTAGACATTTCATATAAATTGAATCATATGTATTCTTGTGACTGGCTTCTTTTAAAATCCATTCATATTGTAGCATGTATCAGTGCTTTATTCCTTTTTATGTCTGAATAATTGTCCATTATATGGAGATACCATATTTTGTTTATCTATTGGTTAGTTAATGGATTTTTGAGTTGTTTTACCTTTTGACTATTATGAATAATGCTACTCTGAACATTAGTGTACAGGATGGATTTTTAAAAAATAAACTCATTGATTTCTGCATCACCATCTTTGCCCAGGTGAACTTTCCCCAAATGTTAGGATTCTCCTGATCAGGAAAGTCATCATTACTGTTAAAAAGTATATCATTGGCCGGGCGCGGTGGCTCACGCCTGTAATCCTAGCTCTCTGGGAGGCCGAGGCAGGTGGATTGTTTGAGCTCAGGAGTTTGAAACCAGCCTGAGCAAGAGCGAGACCCCGTCTCTACTAAAAATAGAAAGAAATTAATTGGACAACTAAAAATATATAGAAAAAAAACTAGCCGGGCATGGTGACACATGCCTGTAGTCCCAGCTACTCGGGAGGCTGAGGCAGGAGGATCGCTTGAGCCCAGGAGTTTGAGGTTGCTGTGCCACGGCACTCTAGCCCGGGCAACACAGTGAGACTCTGTCTCAAAAAAAAAAAAAAAAAAAGTATATCATTTCACTGTGAGTCTTCCCTAAAATTTCAGTGTACTATTTCCTATTTGAGATGTCTAGAAGTTATTTTCTTGGAGGAAGACTACTTATACCTTATGAGACTTGTCCAGAAGTTACGTCTATCAAATTCCTCTTAGAATTCTGTGATTGTTTTTTTCTAATCAGCACTTCATTCATTTGATGGTAACTGTAAGTACTTCAGTTTCACTATTTGGGGTAGGTGGAGATTAAATGAGCTGTCAATGTTACTGGTAAAACATCTGTTTTTGATAGTTCCACCCCACCTTGAGGACATTTGCTGAACCTAATGACTTTGAGGTTTGGTTTTCATAGCCAAGTGGGGTGCAGAAGACAACAGCAAAGCACAGGACTATAAAAAGGGGACCACAAAGGAGAACCCCTCCCTAAGCTGAGATCCTAAATGGGGAACTAGTAATAAACTTGCCCACCACTCACTCCAAGAATATAAAGAAAAGTTAATCTGACCCACACTTGATGCTAAGTGTTTCCTAAAAATTTGTAACAACAAACTGACCCTCACACATGTTCCCAGCCTGATTTCATAGTTCCTAGAAGGTCCCGAAAAGCTGCATACAGAAAACTAAGCTTAAATGGATCCTGGGCTGGTAGTGACCTGGGTGCCTGACAGAAGCAAATGCAAATAGACTTTGGAGGATCCACCTTCATTCTAGGCCTCAATGCGAAAAGTTACAGGAAATATTGGCCCCCTGCTAAATGATGGGCATAGATAGGCACAAAGAGATGTAAAGGACGTTGGAACCCAAGAAAGAGGAAGGGTGGGGGTGGGGTGAATGGTAAAAACATACCTATCAGGTACAATGAACACTATTCTGGTGACGGGCACACTAAAAGCCCCAACTTAATTAAGCATTATACAAGGTATCCATGTATCGAAAACATTTGTACCTCCTTAATTTTTGAAATTAAAAAAAAAGAAATATCGGCTCACAGTAAAAAATCACAAGTCCTACAATAGAACAAAATAGAAGGAGCTAGGAGAAACAACAGCAAAATGCAGGACTATAACCTACTAAGAAGGCCAAAAGAAGTTAATAGCATATTTGACACAATTAAAGAGAAAACAGATGAGCTAGAAGATAGGTGTGAAGAAATTATCCAAAATGCAAGATAGGACCAGAGATAGTTAAGAGAGATGAAGGATAAAGTACTGAAGTCTGATCTAATGAGAATTCCTAAAGGAGAGAAGAGAGAGAATGAGGCAGACATAATATTCAAACAGATAATTACTAAGAAACTTTAGGACTTGTGAAAATGACTAAACCACAGATGTAGAAAGTCCAAAAAATCCAAGTTAGGATAAATAAAAAGAAATCCACCCCTAAGTGCATCGTAATGAGACCAAAGACAGACAGAAAATCTTAAAACAGAAGTAAGACAGATTTCGCTTGAAGAAATACTAACTAATCGATAGTTCACTTCTCAGCTGCAACAGTAGGAGCCAGAAAACAGTGGGATAGTATCTTCAGTATACTTAGAGTAGAAACTATTTAGTTAGAATCGTATATCCTGTTAAAATATCTTTCTAGAATGAGGGAAAATGGAAGCATTTTCAAACAAATAAAAACTTGTGAGAATCTGTTACCAATAGGCCCTCACTAAAGGAAATATTAAAGGATATAGTTTAGGCAGCAAGAAAGATAGAAAATCTAAGATTCAAGAAGAAATGATGAAATAAGAAACTAATAAAATGTGACCAAATGTAGATAAAATTTGATTAATCAAAATAATAATAATGATAATAATGAATAGTACCAGGAATGGTGGCTCATGCCTGTAATCCCAGAGACTTAGGAGGCTGAGGCGGGAGGATTGCTGGAGGCCAGGGCTCATTACTAGCCTGGGCAACACAGTGAGACCCTGTCTCTAAAAAAGAGTAAGAAAAATTAGCGATAGTAACATGTGCCTGTAGTCCCTGCTACTCTGGAGGGTAAGGCACAAGGATCACTTGAGCCCAGAAGTTGAAGGCTGCAGTGAGCTACAGTTGCGCCACTACACTCCAGCCTGGGGGATAGAATGAAACTCCATCTCTTAAAAAAATCATAATAAAATAATGAATAGTGTATTGTGCTGGGAAAAGGTAGAATTCCCCACAAGACATGTATTAATTACAAAGGGAAAGATAGTATCTTTACAGTAGAGAAACCTGGCAGACATTCCTTTAACCATGTGATCATAATTGACATTACTGGTAATGGGACCAATCAATATCGCATAACTTCTGATATGATGCACCAGGAAGAGTGCAATGTCAAAGGTATAACCCAAATCTAATCATAAGGCAACATCAACAGACCCAAATTGAGGGACTCTTCAAAAATATCAAGGTTATGAAAGACAGAAAGGCATGAACTGTTCATATTAAATGAGACTAATGAGACATGATAACTAAATTTAATGCATGTTTCTGGATTTTTTCCTGGACCATAAAAATTTTTTCTTCTCCATGGAGGACATTAGTAGGCCAATTGGAAAAAATTGAATTAGATATGCAAGTTAGATAATAGGATTGTTTTGTTGCTAATTTTCTGATTTTGTTCATTATGCTGTGGTTATATAAGATAATGTCCTTGGTTTTTAGGAAATGCACACTGAAATATTTAGGGCAAAAGGGGCATTGTGTTTGCAATTTGCTGTCAAAAGATTCTGAAAAAATAATGTGTATATTTATGTGTGTAAAAGAGTGAGAGAGAAGAGAAAAGGAAATATTTAACTTTTTTCTTAGTTTAAATTAGTTAAAAATAAGAAGTTAAAGAAAATAAAGTGAATTGCCAACTCCCCCACCTCCCACAAAAAGATTGAACTAAAGTATTGGATAACGAAGCACATAGATTGGGATAGGGTATTTGGAGTTAGTGTTACTTATTTAATTACATTTTGCTAATTATGTAAGTTAATGTGTCTATTATAAAAATAGTAACAGAAAGTAAACCTTTCAAACTAGTAGAGAGGAAAATGAACTGAAAAAAATCCAAATATAGCAAGAAAGGGGTAGAAAAAGAAACTTAGAAAAGGTGGGACAAATAAAAGCACAACAGATAGATAATTAAAAATGGACTAAATGCTCCAAAGACATGGATTATTAGACTGGTTAAAAAATTCAAATATGCACTTTTGAAAGAAGCATTCCTAAAACATAGAGGTACAGAATGTTTGAAAATAAAAGGTTTAGAAAAGACAAACCATACTAGCTAGAACAAAACTGGCAGAGCTATTATATATTGATATTGAACAAAATAGATTTTGAGGCCAAAAGCAACACTAGAGGGAAACAGAATCACTTTGTAATGATAAACATTTTGTTCACCAGGAAGATATGATAGTTCTAAACTTGTATGCACTTACTGACATAGCCTCAAAATATATAAACAAAAATCTACAGAAACCACAGGAACAAATAGACAAATCTATCACAGTGAGAAATTATCAACTTTTCTCAATTTTTATAGACGAAGTAGTCCAAAGATGAGTAAAGTTACAGAAAATTTGGACCAAATGGTTAACAACCTTGATCTAATAGAACAATATGGTAACAACTTTCAAATAGAATATGTTTACAGAGTGCTGATCTACTTCTAAATAATGTCAAATCATATATACATATATATAATACATTTAAAATGTATATACATAGCTGCTTATTTAAAGAAATTGAGCCAGGCTGTTAGCAGCGGTGCTGATTTGTATCTGAAGTGATTACTTGGGAGGAAGGGGGATGAAAGAAGGAAGGGCTGTTTAAGCGAGAAGCGTCGGGGATGAGAGAGTCAGGAGACCCAGGATCTCATGGCAACTCTGACATCAATTGGCCATGTGATTTTTAACAAGCTATTTGTTCTCTTGGATTCTATTTCCTCATTTATCAATCAGAGATGACAATGTTCACTCTGCCTATTCCCTAGGAACGTTATCAGATTTAATAGATACTAATACATATAAGTGAAGATGTTGAAAAATGAAATTCAGTAACATGGATTACATTAAACAAGTATTTATCGAACACCTACTCGTGCAAGGCTCATGGAAGACATTCTAGAGGATACAGGGATATGTAAGTCACTGAAGAGATTCTAATCTAAGAAGTCTCATAAATAACTATCAAGTTTAAAACCCTTCAGTGGCCTTCCACTGCTCTAAGGATAAAGACCAGCCATGGTGTAGTCTGTGCCTGTCTCTGTGGCTTCATCTTACACATTTTCTCCCTCGCTCAGTGGTTTCCCTTCCACCACAGAACTTTTTCCAGCTGTTTCCTGGGCTTGGAAAACCCTTTCCTTCCTCTTTCACCCAGTTGTTACCTTCAGTTCCTTTAGTTGTCAATTCCATTTCTCAAGGCAACTGTCTCTTGCCTGCCTGGATAGAGCACACTCCTCTCACATGGACTCTGACCATAGTGTCCTTCTTTGTGGTAGTCTATGTTTTAGGGAGCAATAATTTGATTAATATTCATTTCTCCTAGTGACTATAAGCTCTAGGATGGCAGAGACCATGTCTGTTTTTGTTTTCTGGCACATAATACGCACTCAGTAAATGTTTGTTGACTAGCTGACTGATTTTCTGATTGACTGAATGAAGGCTCCCTAAGAGAGATACAAACAAATACTATAAAGAATCAAATGAAGAGTCAAAGGAAGAGGTAATTTTTGAAATGAGTCCTAGAAGAGATTACAAATTGCCACCTAGATGCTGGTTTGATGGATGAATGTGGTTATTATCACTAATTCACTTTGAGTGATCTTGGTGTTTATTATAACAAAGAAATTGCTGAGTTTTATTTGTTAACTCCTTGTTAACATTTTCCAGGAAATTCTTATTTGATTTATCTGGTCATAGGAAATAACCCATTCTCTTTTGATAGCCCAAGCATGAACCTCTCACCATTTTCTGTGACCTCATGGGCGTGGACTATGAGGAGATGTGTCACTGGCTCTGCCACCGGAAGCTGGCTACTGCCACAGAGACATACATCAAACCCATCCCCAAGCTGCAGGCCACGAATGCGCGTGATGCTTTGGCCAAGCACATATATGCCAAACTCTTTAACTGGATTGTAGATCATGTCAATCAGGCCCTCCATTCTGCTGTCAAACAGCACTCTTTTATTGGTGTACTGGACATTTATGGGTAAGTATATTTAGCTTACTGGTCTGCCAGAGAGCATTTCTTTCTAGAATGTATCTAGTAACTCTAAGTGGGTATTAGATTCTGTCTCCTACTGCTAAAGAGAAGGAAGACCCTGCCTATGACAATTCAAGAGTAACTTAATGATGATACAAGTCCATGTCACTTAAAATTTAATTTAAAAAAATGAGTTCAAATCTGGAGCTAATTTACTAAGCTAGCAGGTGGAATTACTGATTTTCAGACTCTCATGTGGTAAATTATCACTGAATTTCTAAGTATCTAATTTAATTTGCTAATTTGCCTTCCCTGAGTACCTTTCTTTAACTGGTAAAACCTTTCTTGCACATTTGTGCTTGTTTGGTACGTAATTTTTTGTTTTCTGGGTCAGCCTTTTGAAAGAACCTAGGAGATCTCTGTTTCTATTTCCCTTCTATGTATGTGGTTTCATCATAATTCTTTTATCCCCATTGGGAATGGATGAGTCCTGTAACACTCATAGTGTTGAACATCTCTGCATGCTGGGGCCTTAAAAAAAAATAAACCTCTCTGTGTTTGGCTCATGCTCACCTGCTGGGTACATATTCCATGTTGCTGACTTATAAACCTTTATCTTCTATGAAATCAACCTAAGTGTCTATCAGTGGATGAGTGGATAAAGAAAATGTGGTGTGTGTGTGTGTGTGTGTGTGTGTGTATATATATACATACATGCATACACCATGGAATACTACTCAGCCATAAAATAGAAGGAAGTCGTGTCTCTTGCAGCAACATGGATGAAACTGGAAGCAATTATCTTAAGTGAAATGGTTCAGAAACAGAAAGTCAGATACCACATGTTCTCACTTATAAGTGGGAGCTAAGTAATATGTACCTATGGACATAGAGAGTGAATATTAGACATTGGAGACTTGGGACGGAGGGTGTGGGATGAGAAATTACTAATGGGTACTACGTACACCGTTAGGGTGATGGTTACACAGAAAGCCCAGACTTCATCACTACAAAATATATCCATGTAACAAAACTGCACTTGTATCCTCTAAATCTATAAAAATAATAAAATAAATTTTAAAATTAAAAATAAAAAACCTTTGTCTTCACTGATGTAGAAAGAAAGTTTCACAATGTTGGGGGATTTCCCATTTCTTTCTTCCTGATGTGCATGTGTTGAATATTTTTAAAAAGCTGTTCCTTTTCTTCCCTTTCCATGTTATTTTTTGCTATCACAGATTTGAAACATTTGAGATAAATAGTTTTGAACAGTTTTGCATAAATTATGCAAATGAAAAACTACAGCAACAATTCAATATGGTAAGAATTTTCTTCCTTGAATAATATTCTGTTATAAATTATTCTCTTGAGTTCCTACTCTTTGTTTAAAGCCTGGTTCCTGAAATGAAGTTGTGAATTATAATTATTTCATAGAATTTAGAAAAGCTAAATTGCCAAGGAACTGATGATTCATAAAATGATGCAATATTAGAAAAATTTTTTACGGTCCAGGTGGAATTCAAGGTCATCCTTGGATTGCTGTCTGATAATTGTGAAAATTTAAGGTAAAAAAATTGAGAGAAGCAGGAAGTGTGTTAGGTAGCAGCATAGGGAGTATGAATGTTTGAGCCTAGGAATATCCTTCAGTTTGTTATTCTGTGGAGTTAGGACTATCTTAACTCCTATTTGCTGTATTAGCAAGATGTCAGAACTAAAAATCAGAACTTTACATATTCTCTTTTCAACAGCCAGAGACATTCACTGAGACAATGGCAGTGGGAATATTTTGAGGGTAGCTCTCATGAAGTAGTAATATTAAATATCTTAAAGAATTATCATGATGGAAGATTTGCAGGTGCTTAAAAATGAGGGGCAGCAGACTATAACAGTAAAGGGCACAGACTCCAGAGGTGAACTGCCTGGGTTAGAGTCTGCTCTGCATTGGTTTCCAGGAAACCTTGGGCAAGTTAATTGACTTCTCTGGGTCTTAGCTTCCTCAGCTGTAAAATGGAGATGATAATCGTTCCTACTGTTTTATGGATTAAATGAACTAGGATATGTCAAGTGCTCATCATGTGCTAGGCACAGTTCTAAGTGCAATATTGAGGGTGGTTATTAGTATTGATGGAAGAAGATATTAAAAATGAGTCACCCATAGGAATTGGAAGATAAAAGAGAAGAGAGCTGAAGGGCAGGAAAGTGCCCTTAATATCCTCATCTTATAAAGAGAGAGGTCAAGTGGCATGGTCTGTAGTTGATGAATGAAAAATAGAAATTTAAAGACAAAGTTTCAGAGTCAATAAAAACCAAAAGAGGATCTGAAAATGGTAATATTGGGAAAATAACAGAGGAGCAGTGGGGAGGTGGTGTGGGTAAATTTAGCCTCATTTATCTTATCACAAAATCAAGAGATAATCTTTCAAATTGAAATCAGAAAGTACTGGGAATGATTGTATGTTAAATAAATAAGAGAAAAAAGAGAAAAAGTAAAAAGAGAAGGTAGCTGATAAGTATATTCTTTAGAAATATGTAGGTAAATATCAGAAGCAATAGCTAAGGGAATTAAAAATGGTTGCCTCTAGGGAGTGAGACAGGTTGGAGAGAGATGGGACAAGGAGGGGTTGTTGCTTGTCCTTATAAAACCTTTTAGACTGCTTCATTTTTTAAAATATTGCATATACTTTGAAAAAACTTGAACCATCTTTATTTAAGCAAATTAAGCTGCTTATCACAGTGAAATAATGTAGAGGTGCTTTTAAAACCTTAGACTTATGACTGTTTCCATAATATGATCGGTGTATATTTCACCTCTGTGTAAGGAACATTATAAAAACCTATCAGAAACCAAACTGAGCATTATCATTTCTCAAGGTTTTTCTGGATTTTTTATACTTTAATCAATGCCACGGCCTTCCACACTTTCTTAATAAATTTCAGCATGAGGTGACTGGAAATATGAGGAACCAATGCCAGCCACTTTAGGAACTGGCTGGTGTGTTTCTCAGGGGCTTCACTGTCTCTCCATGTGTTTTTCGGCCTCTTGTTTTTCCTTCTCTTTCCTGCTTCCTGTCTGTATCCACTTGTTTTTCTTTCTCTCTGTCTTCACACACTCTTCCCTACTCCCAGACTGCATCTTTGCTTCTCTGCACAACTGCTCCACTCCCTCTTACTGTCAGATGACATAGTCTTTCCTTCTAGTCGGTATATATTTTCTCTACCTGAAGGTTACTGCTTTGTCGCTCACTTCAAACTACCTGTGAACCCAGCAGTCGTTGGAACGCTCTTCCAATCCTCTTAATTTGCTTAGGTCCCATTCATTTTGGCTTCTTTCAGCGTCAGCTCCCACTGCTAATTGCCTGATTATTTCCTTGTTTCCCAATTTGGATACCTGAGAGAGAGAGAATCTGATTAACCCAGTTCATTTTTTCATCAGAGATCTCTGGTCATAGAGTGCCCTCATGTACCCACACTGATTTAGTCAGCTGTGACTAGGAATGTGGGGTCTCACAGTAAAGAACATGACTGCATAGGGCTGCTCCCTGCTCTGGGGCTGTAGGTTGGGGGAATTGGCATGAGAAGCACTGTGATAGGTGTGTTTACTTCTGGGAAGCTTTGCTATATTGACCAAGGATCTCTTACCATATTGAACCTTATGCCCATATTCTTTGGCCATTGAGCATCCAAAATTTTTGAGACCCCTTGAACTTTCCAAACTAGATATAGAGATGGTGTGAGAAATAAGCTCTATTTATAAAGTCAAGAATAGTGCTTTTGTTGTCAGTGTGGAGACTGCATATAAATTAATGAAATTTTAAAAAATGACAGAGCTCATTGTTTTTGGAAGATATTGGTACCATCAGTGAGGGCATCCTGCTGACATATGGTGGCCTATTTGCCTTCTCATTAATCAAAAGAACATAAAAAATTTTCTTTGTAACTAGCATGATATAAATACTCATATGGATGACCTTTTTCTACTAAAGCATATTATAGCAGGTTAGACTATAAACACTGCAAATGAGCCAAGAGTGATATTACAGTAAGTGTAGTATAAAGTGGGAAAGTTCCAGGTGCATGAGGAGAGTATGCATCGGAGATCTGGTAGCACATAAGTTTCATGGGGCATGGGGTCCTATATGGGTTATCTGGTTATAGCCACAAAAGGCTAGTCTTCCTAGAAAAATAGTAATATGTGTAAGAGAACCAAAGGAGACAAAAGAGACAAGTAAAGGAAAGTAGTAGTCATTAGCATCTGTAGAGAATAAAAGTCGTGGTGTCAACCACACTGGCTGGGCAGTGCCTTGAAGCAGGAGCTGGGTGCTGGTTGGATTGCTCTTCCCATTTGGGCTAGTTTGGCTCCCATTCATCTTCAGAGCTCAGGTCACACTGCCTTCCCCAGGGAAGCCTACCCTGACCAGCCTATACTCAAACTAGATGAGGTCTCTTATTCTCTTAACTCATATTAGTTTCCTTTATAATATTATCATAACTTGTAATTATTTCTTTCTGTCTGCTTCTCCCCCTCTTCTCCAAACTCCATGAGGGCAGCATCCACATATATGTTGTTGTCGATGTGCAGTGACTGGCTCACAGTATATAGTCAATACATATTTTTGCTTAAATGAGTGAATGAAGATGAGAAGCAATGGTGAGGATGGTGGCTGAAGCCTTTAGCAGAAATAGCAATGGACTAGTAGTGGTTGCAGCTGCTTGCAGAATTGGATGTAGAATCCAGAAAAGTGAGTCATAGATTCCCTGACTGTAGCGAATAATCAATGCAGACACAAAAGACCAACCATTATCAAATTTTGAAACGGGGTCCCACTCTGTCGCCCAGGCTGGAGTGCAGTGTCACTATCATAGCTCACTATAGCCTCAAACTCCTGGGCTTAAGCAATCCTCCCACCTCAGGCTTATGAGTATAGCTGGGACTACGGGCTGCACCATCATGCCTGGCTAATTTTGAAATTTTTTGTAGAGACGGAGTCTTGCCATGTTACTCAGGCTAGTTTCAAACTCGTGGCTTCAAGTGATCCTCCTACCTTGGCCTCCCAAAATGCTGGGATTACATGCCTATGCCACCATGCCTGGCCCATTTGTCAGCTATTTAAAACATTTACATACCTAGATTTACTTGTTCACCAAGAATCCTGTATAGCTGCAGTTTTACTGTCTGTGGCTTTTATTTGCGTTCTCTGTGTAAATCTCCCATGAGATTGTTGTTGCTGGAAGCCATGGACTATCTCAAATTATGTTGGCATCATCTTAATATTTCTTATAAATATTGCTTTTTGACTACATTCTTTGTTATAATGATCAAGTAATGATTGCTTTTTTCTTTTTCATTTCAGCATGTCTTCAAATTAGAACAAGAAGAATATATGAAGGAACAAATTCCATGGACACTCATAGATTTTTATGATAATCAGCCTTGTATTAATCTTATAGAATCTAAACTGGGCATTCTAGATTTGCTGGATGAGGAATGCAAGGTAAATATGATTTTATGGGATATGTAGTCTATCAAAACAGATGTATCAAGGTCAGCAGATAAGTGAGTTCAAGCAGAAATTCATTAATATATCATAAGACGCCATCGTGGCGACAATTGGGGGCTGGGTCACGCTAACTTCCATTCTGAAGGGATGCTAGACTCTAGGCATTCTAATTACAAGTGAAACTAGGAGAATTTCCCTTCTCTTTTCAGCAGATTCTAAAAATCTGTGAAAATTTGACATTAGATACAGTTACTACCAATTTTAGCCACATTTGTTATTAATTTGCTTATATGTAGTACTTTTTGGTCAGTGATAGATTTAAAGACATGCAAGAAATTGAGCAAAAAACTATTTCGATTAATAGCTGTTTTTTATTACTGATATATGATAGGTATGCTTTAATATTTGAAGATGCAGCATGTTGGGAAAAATACTGAATCCCCAGCTTTACCACTAACTGAATGATACTAGGAAAACTTATCCTTTCTTTTAATTTCCTTTTAGTTTATATGCAATAAGTTACAACTTACCACAGGTTGATCTTCCTAAGCATCCAGACATTCTACCACATTAAGGATGCATGTAATGTGAAGGTGCTCAGCCTGACTTGAGATTTAAAAAAATGCAAAGCAAAGCAAAAATGGTATACTGCTTATTGCCCATCAAATAGGCATTTTAAGGCTGGGCATGGTGGCTCATGCCTATAATCACAGCATTTTGGGAGACTGAGGCAGTAGGATCTCTTGAGGCCAGGAGTTTGAGACTAGCCTGGGCAACATATCGAGACCTCATCTCTACAAACATTTTTTAAAAATTAAAAAAAACATTCAATGGGGCATGGTGGTGCTCACCTTAGTCCCAGCTACTTGGGAGGCTAAAGCAAGAGGATTGCTTGAGCCCAGGGGTTCAAGGCTGCAGAGAGCTATGATGGCTCCACCGCACTCGAGCCTGAGCAATAGAGTGGGACCTTGTCTCAAAACAAATAAATAGGTGAGTTTAAACTTGACACCTTTCATTTGCAATATTAAATGAATGTTGCACATATACCCTTGATGAAGGGCATGAATTCCTACAATATATTTTATAGGAAATTTGGCACCATTTATCATAATTGTAAATACATATACCTTTTCACCCAGGAGTGGAAGTGCTGAGAGTTCAGCCTATGAATGTACTTGTAAAAGTATCCAAGGTATATATATGTACATGTAAGAAGAAAGCTGTAGGCCGGGCACGGTGGCTCACGCCTGTAATCCTAGCACTCTGGGAGGCCGAGGCGGGAGGATCATTTGCAGCTCAGGAGTTTGAGACCAGCTTGAGCAAGAGCGAGACCCCGTCTCTACTAAAAATAGAAAGAAATTAATTGGACAACTAAAAATATATAGAAAAAATTAGCTGGGCATGGTGGCGCATGCCTGTAGTCCCAGCTACTTGGGAGGCTGAGGCAGGAGGATTGCTCGAGCCCAGGAGTTTGAGGTTGCTGTGAGCTAGGTTGACACCATGGCACTCTAGCCTGGGCAACAGAGTGAGACTCTGTCTCAAAGAAAAAAAAAAAAAAAAGAAGAAAGCTGTGACAGTTGTCATAATAAAAAATCGTTAACAACCTAGCAGCCATAAATAAGAGAATGCTATTATTAAGACGGAGAAAAAAATGCTAGGAATACATAGTATGATCCCGTTCATGTACATGCCTTGAAAGACAGGAAGAGATAATGAAGTTGGAGGAAATGGCAAGAGGAAACTACTCTCTATTTTATACCTTTCTGAATTATATAAATATTTTACTATGTGTAAATGTTACCTTTGTTTAACAGAATTTTAAGAACATACACGATAGCCATGATATTTTATCTTATTGTGTGAGGTTTTTGTTGTTTTAAAAGCAGAGCAAATGTTTATTTGATGATTCCTGGAATAGGGAGATTGAGTTGCTCGAAGATTGGACTGGATCACCATGGAAAAGTCTCAGTCATATTCTTTATTAGTAATTGGTTTTTGGCCCATAAGAAAGAAATTTGGAAGGAATGAGTTCCTAAATTGAATATAAATTTTCTTAGGTAATTCCAAAAAGTGGTTCTCTTTGCAGCTGATACGTCAGAAGACTTTCAGTATTCACTTTGTTTTCTTTCTTTCTTTTTTCCCTGAATGTAGATGCCTAAGGGTACAGATGACACTTGGGCCCAAAAATTGTACAACACACATTTGAACAAGTGTGCTCTCTTTGAAAAGCCTCGTCTATCAAACAAAGCTTTCATCATCCAACATTTTGCTGACAAAGTAAGGAAGCTTTATATCTTGTTTTCTTTTTGAATATTTAAGTTAAATGTGCAAAAAAAATCAACAGTCAAGAGGTATAGGGGCCCAGTTCAAGATGGCTGGATACAACTAGATACAACCTCTCCCAGAGAGGAATCAAAATTAGCGAGTGAATATTCACATTTCAAATAGGTAGTCTAAGAGAGAACACTGGAATTCAACAGGGAAGTGACAGGAATTGGGAAAGCAGAGGAGTGGGAAGTTACACGCTCTGCTCAGCCAAGATAGAAGGAAAAATGGGAGAAGCTCCCTGATGTCGGGAAAGCATGAGTGAGAGATCCCTGGGTTCCACACTCCTGCCAGGGACTTTTAAAATCCTAGCTATAGGGAGCCCTTAGACCCTCGCCGGCCCCCAGACTAAGGCAAGGAGCTGCCTAGAGAGTGCGCAGAAGCATTGCTCAAACTCACACACAGCCACACAGGCTTTTGAGCTCTGCGTTATTCAGACAGCCCAGATCCTAGAGGTCTGTGTCCTGCTCAGGGATCTCCACCATTGCTGCCACAGCAACAGGGCCACTGAGGGAGCGGGTGGCTGAGCACTTTCATATGCCCCTAGGACAGATACCGCTGCCACTGCTGAGGGAGGCAGGTGCAAGCCTCACAGCAGTTTGCCTTTACTGAGAGGAAGCTGCCCTCCCTGGTGGCAAGTTCATGGAACAACTGCCCTTCCCCCACCTGAGCATTCCTGCTGAGGCCTGGCAGCCATTCTGGGAGCCCAGCCCTAGCAGTTTGAGCACTGATCACTGTCACCACCAGGCGAGGAGGGAGCTGGAAATCCAGGTGTTTTTATGCACCCCAAGGACAGAGACCACTGCTGCTGCTTAGGGAAAGAGGTACGAGCAGATCATGCATCCCACAGTGGCCTGTCTCCACTGAGAGGAGCCCACCCTCCCTGATGGTAGGCCTAAGGCACCACCACCCTGTCCCTGCCTGAGCATTCCAGCTGCAACCTGATAGTACCATTCTAGGAGCCAGTCTCCACATGTCTGTATCCTACATGCTTTGTACTGCCACCCACTAATCCCACTGAGAGGGACCCACCCTCCCTGGTGTTAGGCCTGTAGCACACCCACCCTGCCCCACTTGAGCATTCTACCAGCAACCAAGGGATCACCCTGCTTCTCCCTATCACAGGGGGGCCCGAGGACAAGTTTGCCAGGTCAGTCCTGGTCTGGTCCCCACAGGACTTGAGTACACTGTCTAGGGGATTGGGGAATGGGGATTACCTAACCTAGTCCATCACTGCTGGCACCTGAACACTCCTCCAGGGATTTGAGGTCAGGCCAAGCCAAACTGCCAGCAACACCACAGCTTGTACTCACCTGGATGCACCAAAAGGCAGGGCTCCTTTGCCTCTCTACACAGATCAGTGGTGTTCTCCACAGAGAACAGGCAAGCCACAAAGCTGTCTTTTTTGGGTTGAGAAAAGAGGTTCTGTCTCAAAACCATTTAGGCGGAGAGAGAGAGGCATTTTTTTGCAACTTTCAGCAACATTGGGGCCTGGAGATAGATGACCATGTCTGACTGAACTGAGAGTCACAAGCCCTGGGACAGGGTCATGATAGAGAAGCAGACTGTGTTCCTGCCAGCCCAAGATGTGGAGCTGGTGCAGTGTCCCACCACCACCACTATGGAAACCTCAATGCAATTCACCGGGAGTCCCAGTCCCCCGACCCCTCCGTCACCCAAGTCAGGGCTGGAGCCTGTCCTCGTCTTTGGGGTATCTATGGACAAGCTTGATGTTCCAGCCCCACACAGCTTTGTCCCTCCATCTGGGGCTGAGCAGGGAACTTAGGGCACCAGGCGTTCCACAGACTAGTCTATCTCCTGAGACAAAAGAGAGTAAATACCCAGTAAACAAAGTCCAAATATATATCCACTGGCTTCTGTGGCATCTGGTTCTTACCTGTAAGTGCCACCTACTGGCCCTGAAGGTTGAAATGCACTACCCAATGTAATACTGCTGTCAGAAGGGCATAGTGCTAGAGAAAAAGATAAGTTTCGTAAGACCTCCTACAATTGCAGTCCCGCAGAAGATAGTGAGGCTGCTCACATGCCCAGTACATCTCTACTACTATCAGCATTTCAGAAAGCCATCACACAAAGGCTATGAGTTCCTCTAACCAAGGAAATAAAGTGTTTCCCAGATAAGCAAATGCTAAGGGAATTTGTCACCACTAGACTGGTCCTATAAGAAATGTTCAAGGGAGTTCGAAACATGGAAACGAAAGTCAATACTTGCCATCAATCAAAACCCATAAAACCTTAAAACTCACAGGTCCTATTAAAACAATTTCACAATTGAGATACAAAGCAGTTAGGTAAAAATTAACATTATGACAGGAACAGAACCTCACATATTAACTTTGCATATAAACAAACTAAATGCCTCACTTAAAAGATATAGATTGGTGGAATGAATAAAAAAATCTAAATCTCTGCTACATTTGAGAGAATCAATTAACTGGTAAAGATTTTTGTAGACTTAAGATAAAGGGGTGGAAAAACATTCCACACAAATGGAAATCAAAAGCAAGCAGGATAGCTATACTGATACCACATTAAAAAAAGACTTTAAATCAACAACAGTAAAAAATAAAAAAAAAAAAATACAAGGAAGGCCCTTATATTAATGATAAAGGGATCAGTTCAATAAGAAGATATAAAAATCTTAAATATATATGCACCCAACACCAGAGCATCCAGATTCATAAAACAAATACTACTATACCTAAGAAAAGAGACAACAATACAGTAATAGGGAGGGTCTTAAACATTGACTATACTGGACAGATCATCAAGGCAGTAAATCAACAAAGAACTTAAACTGGACTCTAGAACAAATGGATCTAACAGACATCTGCAGAACATTCTACTCAATAATTGCAGATATACGTTCTTCTCATCAGTGCATGGAACATTTTCCAAGGTAGACCATATGTTAGGCCACAAAACAAGTCTCAATAAATTTTAAAAAATCAAAATCTAACAAATATCTTCTCAGAATAAAGTAGAATAAAACTAGAAATCAATTCCAAGAGGAACACTCAAAACTATACAGATACATGGATATTAACCTGCTCCTGAATGATCTTTGGGTAAATGATTAAATCAAGATGGAAATTAAACATTTTTTGAAATTAATAACACAATTTATCAAAACCTCTGGGACATAGCAAAAACAGTGCTAAGAGGGAAGTTTATAGAGTTAAATACCTATTTCAAAGATTGAAAGATCACAAAATAATAACCAAATATTGCACTTCAAGGAGCTAGAAAAATAAGAACAAACCAAACCCAAAGCTAGCAGAAGAAAAGCAATAACAATGATCAGAGCAGAACTAAGAGATCAAAATTGAGACCATAAAAAAAGCAAAAGATCAACAAAATGAAAAGTTGGTTCTTTGAAAAGATAAAATTGATAGACCACTAGCTAGATTAACCAAGAAAAAAAAAATTCAAATAAGCTCAATCAGAAATGAAAAAGGAGACATTATAACTGATACCACAGACATTCAAAAGACAGTCCAAGACTACTGTGAACAATTTTTCATCCACAAACTAAAAAACCTGGAGGAAATGGATGAATTCCTGGAAACATATAACCTCCCAAGCTTGAATCAAAAAGAAATAGATATCCTGAACAGACCAATAATGGATAGTGAGATTGAATCAATAATAAAAAATCGCCTAACAAAAAAAATGCCCAGGACCAGATGGGTTCACAGCTGAATTCTGTCAGATGTTCAAAGAAGAATTGGTACCAATCCTACTGAAACTTTTCCAAAAGATCAAGAAGGAGGGAATACCTCCCGAATTCATTCTAAAAGCCATTATCACCCTGGTACCAAAGCCAGGAAAGTATGCTGCAAGAAAAGAAAACTATAGACCAATACCCTTGATGAATATAGGTGCAAAAATCCTCAGCAAAATATTAGCAAACCAAATCCACTGCAATCAAGTTGAGTTTCATCCCAGGGATGCTAGGATGGTTCAACATACGCAAGTCTGTAAATGTGATTCACCACTTAAACAGAATTATTAATAAAAACAAAAACCATGTGATCATCTCAATAGATGCAGGAAAAGCTCAATAAAATCCAATATCCCATTATGCTAAAACCCTCCATGAACTAGGCATAGAAGGAACACCTCAAAATAATAAAAGCCATATATAACAAACCCACCACCAACATCATACTGAACAAGGAAAAGTTGAAAGAATTCCCCCCACAAACTGAAACAAGACAAGGATGCCTGTTTTCACCACTTCTATTCAACATAGTACTAGAAATAGTAGCCAGAGCAATCAGGCAAGGGAAAGAAATAAAGGGCATCCAAATTGGAAAAGAGGAAGTTAAATTAGCTCTGTGTGCTGATGATATGCTCTTATACCTGGAAAACCCTAAAGACTCCTCCAAAAGATTCCTAGATATGATAAATGAATTCAGTAAAGTCTCAGGTTATAAAATCAATGTACATAAATCAGTAGATTATCTGTATGCCAATAAACAACCAAGCCAAGAATTCATCCCATTTACAATAGCTGCAAAATATAAAATAAAATACCTAGGAATATATTTAGACAGGAGGTGAAAGATCTCTGCAAGGAAAACTATAAAACACTAATGAAAGAAATCATAGAGGGCACAGACAAATGGAAAAACATCCCATGCTCATGAATTGGAAGAATCAATATTGTTAAAATGAGCATACTGCCCAAAGCAAACTATAGGTTCAGTGCAATTCTTATCAAAATATATTAGGTGATTAAGTATGAAATGTCCGATTTCCTTATGTACTAAATTTGGCAGTTGATATTTCTGACATTTCACTTTGACACTTCTTGTTTTATGTTTTTTGTGAAGGTACATCCTCAGTCTTTCAAACACATGTTTAGGCTTGTGATTATCTTTTACATTTTGTTAGAGCAATTTTTGTGAAACCATGGATAAATCAAAAATTTGTGTTATTTTCAAATACGAGTTCCATTGTGGAACAAAGGCAGTATAGACAGTTGGAAATATCAACCAAGTGTTTGGGAAGGATGTGGCGAATAAACGCACAGTACATCTATGGTTTGAGAAGTTCCATTCTGGTGATTTTAATCTTGGAAATGAGCCATATGGGCAACCTGAGACCAAAGTGGATATTGATGACCTGAAAGATGTAGTGGAAGTGAATCCATCTCAACCTATGCATGAATTAGCAGCAAGGTTTGACATTACTATTCCAACAATATTGGACCATCTGAAACAATGGGCAAAGTAAAGAAGTTGAGTAAATGGGTTCCTCATGAAGCAAACAAGTGTGAGAAGAGAAATAATCTCAAAGGTTTCTTTGCTGTCACAACATAACAATGAACCGTTTCTATACCCTATTGTTATGTGTGAAGAAAAATGGATTCTTTTTGACAATCACAAGCATTCAGCACAATAGTTAGATAAAGATGAAGTGCCAAAACACAATCCAAAGCTGAATGTTCATTAAAAAAAGCTAATGGTGTCTGTTTGGTGATCCAGCACTGGTTATCATCCACTACAGCTTCATGAAACCCGTCAGTTGATTATAGTGGATGTACTATAACCAATTGGTTGCAATGACTAGGATGCTTGCGATTAAACAGCTGTGATTGGTCAATAGAGACAGGCCAATCCTCTTGCAAGACAAGGCTCGACCACATGTCACAGAAACAGCGCTGCTCAAACTACAGAAACTGCACTTGGAAACTGTTTTTCACTCACCATGTTCACCAGACCTTGCACCAACAGACTGACACTTCTTCCGAGCTCTGGACCACTTCCTGCAAGGAAAAATATTCAGTTCTCAACAAGTTGTGGAAAATGTCTTTAGTGACTTCATTGCCACTCGCTCTCCAGACTTCTTTGCTGCTGGCATAAACCAGCTACCGTTAAGATGGCAAAACCGTAGCAAAACTGTGTTGATAATTTAGGTGCATACTTTGATTAATTATACTGCTTGTTGTTTGAGATATAATAAACTACACTTTTGATTCAGAATAGGACATTTCTTATTTAATGACCAATGTTATTTTTTATATATATATCAGAGAATTAGTAAAAAATATCCCAAAATTCATATGGAACCAAAAAAGATCCTGAATAGCCAAAGCAACCCTAAGCAAACAGAACAAATGCGGAGACATCATATTACCCGACTTCAAATTATACTACAAGGCTATAGTAACCAAAACATCATGGTACTGGCATAAAAGTAGACACATAGACCAATGGAACAGAATAGAGCACCCCAAAATAAAGCCATATGCCTATAACTAACTGATCTTTTAAAAAGCAGATAAGAATGTACACTGGGGAAAGGACACCCTTTTCAATAAATAGTGCAGGGGAAATTCAATAGCCACATGCAGAATAATGAAACTGGATCCCTTTCTCTCACCATATACAAAAATCAACTCAAGATGGATTGAAGACTTAAATGTAAAGCTTGAAGCCATAAAATTCTAAAAGAAAACCTAGGAAAAACTGTATGGACATTGGCCTAGACAAAGAATTTATGACTAAGACCCGAAAAATAAATACAACCAAAACAAAAATAAACAAATGGGACTTAAACCAAAAAGCTTCTGCACAGCAAAAGAAATAATCAACAGAATAAATAGACAACCTACATAACTGGAGAAAATATTTGCAAACTATGCATGTGACAAAGAATCCAGGATCTCCAAGGAACTGAAACAACTCAGCCTGGAAAAAACAAATAACCCCATCAAAAAATGGGCAAATGACATGAACAGATATTCTTCTAAAGAAGATATACAAATATCCAATAAACATATGAAAAATGCTCAATATCACTAATCTTTAGAGAAATGCAAATTAAAAACCACAGTGAGAGACCATCTTATTCCAGTCAGAATGGCCATTATTACAATGTCAAAAAACAATAGATGTTGGCACAGATGTGGTGGAAAGGGAATGCTTATAAACTGTTTGTGGGAGTGTCAATTAGTACAACTCTATGGAAAACAATATGGAGATTTCTCAAACAACTAAAAGCAGATCTACCATTTAATCCAGCAATTCCAGTACTGGTATCTACCCCAAGAGAAAAGTTATTATGTCAAAAAGATATCTGTACTTGCATGTTTATCACAGCACGATTCACAGTAGCAAAGATATAGAATCAACCTATGTGTACACCAACTGATGAGCGGATCAAGAAAATGTAGTGTATATATATATACCATGGAATTCTACTCAGCAGTAAAAAAGGTTGCAGCAACCTACCTGGAACTGGAGGCCATTAGCCTAAGTGAAGTAACTCAGGAACAGAAAACCAGATACCATATGTTCTTACTTATAAGTGGGAGCTAAACTATGGATACATATGATCATATATGGTGCATTAATAGACATTGGAGACTCCAAAGTTAGGAGGATTGGGGGAAAATGAGGGCTAAAAAAAATACCTGTTGGCTACAGTGTATACTATTTGGGTGACGGGTACCCTAAAAGGCCAGATCTCACCACTGTACAATATATCCATGTAACAAAACTTGTACTTATACTCCCTAAATATATCAAAATAATAAATTAAAATTTTAAAAATTTTTAAAAAGAGGTTTTATGTATTTTTTTTTTTTTTGCTGATGCTTTAGGACCTTCTTTAGGACCTTATAGGAAAAGCAGTCTTTGGTTTTGTCTTTCTTTTACCAAAATTGAATGATATACAGAATAAATACAGCTCTGTAATCCTCCATCAATAATTCTTAAATCCAGGAAACTCTAAAAACCAAGTCTTTTTATACTTCAATTAGTGGCTAAACCTGATCTCTGACCTGAATTATTATAATATAAGGTTATTTGTAGTCTTTCTTTATCCTAGTTAGGCTAGATACTTATATATTTCAGTGTATACATATTAATGTATTTGGTTATAGGTTGCTGTGTTAGACCCTGCTGGAGGTATTAAAATATGGTGTATCTCTAAATGCCTGAAAAATTTTGAGTTCTAGAGCATAGCTGATCTCAAGGGTTTCAGAGTAGAGATTGTGGACTTGCATCACCCTCTGTGAGTGATTCACTGGGTCCTTTCTAACAAGCCATGCTGTCTTGCTGCTTCGTAAGTTGTCTAGTCTACTTAGCAAATCAGCAGCCATGAGACTAATTTATATTTCAAGAAGGTTATGGGGTAAGCTTCCTGGGGTTCATTTTAAGAAGATACATGGAGTCAGCCTTGGAGGAGCTCTTTATGGCCAGGATGAGAGAAGAGGATCTATTTCTTATGAGTCTGTTTACCTATGAATTGGGAGGATCTTTTAGGCCACAATTACTCAGCACTACCATTGTTCCCTAGGAAAAACAATATTTGGAATGTTTTGCTCCAGAGTTAACACACTTCTTACCAGGAATGGTACTGGTTTCTTAGAAAAGAGTGATAATACCTGTTTACTGAGGGCTGGTCATATAGCTTGATCCTAATAAATATTTTTGTTGTTGATGATGATGATATCTATTGAAAAGTTTTATCTGTTAAGGAGATTTTTCCATATGTTTTCAGGTGGAATACCAATGTGAAGGCTTTCTCGAAAAGAATAAAGACACCGTTTTTGAAGAACAAATTAAAGTTCTTAAATCAAGCAAGGTAACCATGGTTAGGCTTACTCTAATCAGGATATATGCAATAAAGTGTTAATTACTTAAGCACTAGCTTTTTAACAATAATAATGATTTTTCTAACAAACATCAGGCTTACTTTTAGTTTTTAATTTATCATCTATAGCAATTACCACATGTCAGGTCTTGTTCTGTTAATAAATGTCTTACAGATGTTAACTTATCTAATCCTTATAATGAGGTGGTATTATCATTACTTTCATTTTATGGATGAGGCAACTAAGGCACAGAAACTTCATGGCTAGTGAGTTTTCAAGCCAAATTAAAACTCAGGCCATCTTCCTCAGAATCTATGCTTTTAACCAATGTGCAATGTTGTTGTTCAGTTTTATGTGAAATTATTGCCTCCACATTGGTTCTAGACTCTTTTATGCCTTTGTGAGAGACGGTGAGAGAAAACAGTTTTTCTGCTGTGTCATTTTGAAGGGAAGTGCTAGAAACATGAACTTATGACTCCATCCAGATGGAGGTTGATCTCTGGATCACCAGTGTGTGCAATTCCAAGTGTGGCCCAAAGCTCTTTGAAATTATTTTTCTTAGGCATAGATACTAGAAACACTGCTTTCCAGTGGGAAAAGAGTATTCCAGATGGCAAAGAATTATAATGGCTACACATTATTAGGTTGATCCCTACCTCCACCCTTTGACCTTCATCCAGAAAGGACAGGGAGGGGAGCTCAGCTCAGGGAGCAAACCAGGATACCAGTTACTTAGTTCAGCAAAATGAGTTTTCAAATATTCAGTGAAAAAGTAAAAATCTTCATGTAACTCTTTTAGATTACTGACTGGCACTCTTTGTTTTTCTGGTTTATTCTAAGAGAATCCCTGTAACTTCAGTAGAATAGTATATGAACATTTGACTCTTGTTTTTGGAATAAAAACTTTTCCTTTCAATTATTTTGGTTATATTAAGATCATATAAAGACCAAATCTCTTGAGTCCCTTCTGAGTTTTAACCCTCCAAAAATAATGAGTCGAAGTATCTATAGCAAAATGAGGGAGGTTTTTTTCTCTTAATTTAACAGGCACTGGGCATTAATGCATCCTAGCTTTTAGGACTGATATGTAAGAGAAAATTTCCACAGTGCCAATCCTTGTGTATTTTTCAGTTAAAGATCTTTATTATTTTGATTCATGAATAGTGATAAAAACCGTGAAATTCTGGTGTTATCACTTTGCCAAAGTAATTTAGCTTAAACAGAACACTCACAGGTTCTCATTCTTGAGGCACCTTTAATCAGTTGTCTTTATTCTGACTTAATTTTCTAACTGGCCAGTGGGTCTGTAATCATCAGAAGGTGCTGTGTGTTCTGACGACTCATTTGGAGTGACTACCAGTTTATGTAGCATTGCTGCAGTTGAAGTGGGGACAGTGTATGATTTACCTAACATAGCTTCAAGGCCTTCTCTGCTCCCAGTCTTTGTAGAAACCAAACCTGGGGGTGTGAAATTTATAATTTTTCTACACCTAATAGAAGCGACTGTAACATAGTGTTAATTTGTTCTCTTGGAAGTACTAATTTTAGAAGATTAATATTTGTGTTATATGTTGTGAATAGAATTCTTTTTTTTCTTTGGTAATACAGTGTAGGGTCTGTTTGTGTGTATGTGTGTTTTGTCTTTTTTTTTTTTTTTAAATTTTACAGCCCCTGGCCAAACTTACAACTTGAAAAGGAATTATAAAATTAACAGAAGGTGTCTTGTTTGATATTTTTCCACCATTGAGAAATTTTCTCTTGCCACATGTAATATCAGTAAGCACATAAATAAATTGGAACTTGACTAAATACTACCTAATTTCAATTCTACCAAATATCATTACAATGAGTTTTAACCCCTACTTTCTGTCTTGCTGATTGAAGAGGGGAAGCACAATTCATCTATTGAGTTTATGCCTTAGATCTCTCAACTATATAGTAGAATCTGGATAGTGTCTACTTTATGGAGTTGTTGAGAGGATTAAATAGGTTGTATTAAGCCCTTAGAACAGTGCTTCATGCATAAAAACCTCTTACTGAATAAGGATGTTGTCATTAATGAGATTATTTCCAACATCTTCATGAAGCTACCATTTGGATTCTGCTGGGATTTTTTTCACTATTTACTAGACATGTAAGTTCAGTTGTAAGCAAGTCAGAGCCCTGTCTTAAGAATAGAGAGATCAAAGAAATAAGATGGAATGTCCAGGCATATCTGCCTACTTATCTCTCTATCTATCTATTTTATCTTTAGATAAAATTGGCATTGCAGTCAGTGGGGAATGGATAAATTTTTCAATAAATGATTTAAGAAAATGGGGATTTAATAAGGTAAATGAGAAGGCAGAGGTACCTGCACCTTTGGGAAGGTAGGCACTTAATCAAATATTTAGGTAATATCACATCATGAAGTAGTAAATGCTGTAAAGAAAGTAAAACAGGGCACCAAGCTAGAGAGTGAGTAAACTTGGGAGGTGCTGTGTTGGCTGGAGTGATCAGGAAAGCCTCTCTGTAAAATTGACATTTGGGCTGAAATGTGAATGATGGGAAACAACAAGGCAGAGGGAAGAGCAAATGAGGAGAGCTGAGACTGAATAAGCGGGTTATATTAGAGGTAAAAAAAAGAAGGCTGGTGTAGCTGGAACGTGGTAGGTGAATAGGACATGTAGGATGGGCAGACTGGGACCACTTTCTGGAGGGCGACTTGCAGACTTGGTAAAGAGTCTGGATTTTCTTCCTGTTGTGGAAGAAAGTCTGGAAGGTCTTCAGGTGAAGAATGATACGCTGCTGTGCAGAGGTGGATTTGGGGCAGGTGGAAATGGGGCCAGAGTGACCTAGAGGGAAAGACGGATGGAGATTGTAGCAGTAGAGATGGCATGTAGTTTGTGGGCAGTGTTGACAGGTCTTGTTGATGGGTTGGTATGGAGAGTGAGAGAAAGGGAGAAATTGAGGGTGACTTCTACCTTGTGGCCTGAGGTACTGGATGGATGCTGGTGCCATTTACTGAAGTGAAGATGAGTGAAAGACCAGACTTTGGGAAAAATATTCAAGAGCTCTGTTTTAGCCATGTTTTGCTTGAGATGGCAATAAGATAGCCAAGTGGGCATGTCATTCATAAAGTTGGAAAGGAAAGTCAGCAGAGTGGGGGGAAGTCAGAGAAGGTGATAGAAATGTGGTAATCTTTAGAACTATTAATAGATAGCATTAAAGCTATGAGACTGGGTGAGATTGCCTAAGGAGAACATATAGATAAAGCATAGTAGAGCTGAGGCCAGAATCTTTAGGCATTCCAACTTTTAGAGGCTGGACAGAGGAGAAGCCAGGAAAGAAGTCTGAGAAAAATGGCCTATGAGGAACCAGGACACTGCCTAAAGAAGAACTTACAAAGCAGTTCCTGTTACAACCATTTAAAATGTACTTTTTTTTCTGAAAGAAAAGTCAATGTAGAGAATTTTAAATCTATAATTTCTATGTAGAGTAAGCCACACCAGGTGTGCGTGTATATGTGTGTGTGTGTGTGTGTGTGTGTGTGTGTATTCTGAACTCTGAAAACCAAGCCATTTTCTGGTACATGTTGTAGATACTAAGTTAAATTCACCTACTGGTGAATACGATACTGCAGCCCAGCTTTACTAACCATTTCACACAGAAGAAAGAAAAACAAAGTTTAAGCAACTTCTAATGTAGAGCCAGCAATTTATTTGGGAATAAGACATCATAGATAAGATTCTGGAGTACATGGCCTATTCATTGAGTAGTCTAGCATCTTAACCCCATGCTGAGTTTTCAAATCAAATCTATTAGGAACTCTTATTTTTCTTCTTTGGGACACAGCTTTAACATTGTAATACAAGATAATGTTAAAATATTTATTTTCTTCTTGGTTTATAGCCACCCAAGCAAGAATATATTAATATTATCTATTCTGTAAAGCAAGGAATATATTCATTCATGCAGCAAGCAACCATTATTGGCATGTTATACACATCATGAATTACTAAATTACTCTTTTGATTTTCTAAATTACTCTTATGATTGATATAGACATTAATATGATAGCAAATGATATTATATGATTTTATTTCTTAGTGAAAGAACTCTCATAGAAAACTATTTTTTCAAATTCACTATTAAGGAAATTTTTAAAAAAAAAAGAATTTTTTTTCTGGAGACAGTCTGGCATTATTAGACAAATAATTTCTAGTTGCAAACATAACTACTTAGAAGAATTGATTTTATTTATATGGGATGTGGTACTGTTATAAAGATATGTCCATATATCAGATGTTCCTGTGGATTAGTTTGAAATGTCTTTTGTTTTATAAAATTTCTCCTAGCCATGTTGACTAATACCATCCACTTATTTATTAAGTACCAGATCTTTTAATAGTCTTTCATATTGCTAACCTAACAGAACACCAAATTGATTACAGAAATTATGTATTCAAGTTATAAATTTGTTGAAAACAAATAGAAAAACTTACAGGATAAAGGTAGGGTTTTTAAACTTTTTTTCCCCTACAATCCAAACTATTTTCTAAAAATTATTAATTCATGATTTTTTTATTGTGTAATATTATAGAGATGTTCATAACACCCTTCCTGCTGAGATTTTCAGTGACATTTTGAGTCACTGCTTAGCACTTCAGTGAGTGGGTAGACAGATGAAGCAGGTGGGAATTACGCTTGATAGATAACTTGCAAACCTGGACTAATGTTTTTCTCCACCTGATGATAAAACTGTTTGTGGAACTGAGGTAATAAGATAGGACTTTCAATTACTATTTTGCTCATAAAATAATTATAGTTCAAAACCAGTATTATGTTTAGAGTTGCCCTTTACTGTGGATTAGGTTTTCAAGTCTGAGGGCAGTAGTTTTGATTTCGTTTCCCCCAAACATGGTTGTAGAATTGTTGCATTTTTCCACCTATATTTCTGTAGCATTTATCTCTCTTTCCTCTTACATTTTTGGCTTCTAACACAGATATTGATTATTTCTAGAATGTGACTTGGACAGGGGTTGCTTAAGGAAGGGAGTCACTATTTATTGAAAGTCTCTGATGTTTCTTCTGTGAAGGTGTACATTTGAATTTGGGTTTAGAATGTAATTTCCTTTCACTGTTTCTGACTCAGTTTAAGATGCTACCGGAACTATTTCAAGATGATGAGAAGGCCATCAGTCCAACCTCAGCCACCTCTTCAGGGCGCATACCCCTCAGCCGCACTCCTGCCAAGCCTACCAAAGGCAGACCAGGCCAGATGGCCAAAGAGCACAAGAAAACAGTGGGGCACCAGGTGAGTTCAGGGAGCCACTGCTGCTGTGCTCCTTTCCCTGTGGCTCAGCTGAGGCCTCAGGTCTTCCTTCAGCCTTTCAGGTAGGATTCTCAGGTAAGGAGAGGTTAGAGCTTTCACTATGAGATCACGTAAAACCATCCACTCAAACTTCTCTCCACCCAGTTTTAGACCTGTGACTGTGCATGAGCCTTTCCCAAAATTCTTTCTCTATGTTTTAATTCTTCTAGTGCATGTCATCTCTCTTAGACCACTACTGTTTTTGTTTCATCTCTGTAGTTGTACAGAACATGGTGCAGCTTCCTCAGTGCAAGAACAGTGTCCTCTCCTTCCTTGATGTCTTGTGCTCTGTGGGAGTGGGAAACATTACACATATGCTTAGTGCCTGAGCAAGGGGAGAGGCTTTGGATGGGAAGCTAGTGCTAGTCAGCTTGTTTTCCTGTGCAAGGGACCGTGTGCCCAGTGTAGATAGGAGCAGGGCCTGACACAGGTCCACAGCCTCCAGTCCTGATCCCATGTCCCTAATGGTAACTCTTCTCTGGTTGTTCTTTCCCGTTCTCCCGCCCATCCACTATACTCTAAGTCATCTGCTACTTTTTTCGGTATCTAACAGAAAAATTCCCACTTTATTTGATTAAATGGCCTTAATGGCCTTAAAGCAAGTTATATTGTTAGTCATATATGACTTATCCCAGAGCTCACAGCAGGAAGCTACAGAAACCTATATTAAAAAGAGGAGTAGGGAAAAGGGGTAGGAATAGAGGAAATGCGTATTTAGCAGAGTAAGCACAAAAATGGTAAAGTTTAGGCAAATTTTAACCGAAAGCCCTCACATTCTTGTTTAGTAGCAGTTCCTCTTCTGAAGATGGGTCAAGTTCCTAGGTGACAAAGTCATCTTCATTAGTGTCATAGGAAGAGAATTTTAAATAGTTTTATATCATCTTTGACTTTTGGCAAAACCTTGATGCCCCTTTCTGCCCCTTTTCATGCAGTTCCGAAACTCCCTTCACCTGCTTATGGAGACGCTGAACGCCACTACCCCTCACTACGTGCGCTGCATTAAGCCTAATGACTTCAAGTTCCCATTCACGTAAGTATTTCTTAACTACTGAGTAAAAAAGTGCCCATATCTCATAAGAAGTGCCAAACCAACATAAGGAAAAAACTTGGGGTAAATCTTCATGTCTTACAGAGGGAAACAACTAGTTAGTAGAATTTTTTTCAGTTTTTGTTTCCTTTTGAGAATGTGAGAACAAATTAGCAGTTAGCCTTCTGAGGATTTGAAAAGTTGAGGTTAACCAAGCATTTCTAGTTCTGTTTTCTGTTTTCAATTTACCTCCATTCAAGATTTTCCAGGGCTTTTTGTTAATTTGGGTCTTAGTTAAAACCAGAGCTACCTTGGATAAGGCTGCTTTGGCAACGACTTACCTGCTGCTTTTCAACTGTTGAAACCATCAGAGAATGTCGTCTTTTACCAACATTTCATCCTACTTCAAATACCATGTATGAGGGGAGAATGAATCTTTCTGGAGGTTTTTTTCCAAAACAGAAATATTTCTGTAATTTTAAAAGTAATATGTGTACATTATAAAAACAATTTTTAGGAAATATAGAATAATATAACAATAAATGAAAAGGCATCCCTCATGCCCAGAGAGATAACTGCTATTAACTGGCATAGGTCCTTCTTGACTAACCAATATCCCTTCCTTTCCTGTTCCACATGTGTGCTGGAGAGGGGAGAGGAGGAAGGGAGGGAAAGAGACAGACACTAACAAAAGGAAGGAACTCATGCTGTAATTGCTGTTTTGTCTCTGATTTTAACTTAATATATTGTGGACACTTCCATGTTAGTATATAGAAATCTACATCATCATTTTAATAACTGCAGACTATCCCATTGTATAGACATACCATCATTTAAATTATTCCCTATTGGTAGCCATTTAGGTAGTTCCTACAATGCTATAATAAACATTTTTGCCAAACATTTTTGAATATTTGTCTGATTACCTCCTTAGGATAATGTATTTCTAGAAGTGGAATTTGTAGGTCAAAGACAGGCACATTTACCAAATAATAACTCCCACCCCTACTCCACAGTGTATGAGTGCCCTTTTCACTAACCCCTGCCAATCTTACTTTGGAGATTTTGCCTTAGATTGGACATTGCCTTAGATTGAAAGATTGCCATCCTTCTATCCTCCTCATCACCCGGAAGTCCTTTCTGGAGGAAGTGGAAAGCAGGAAGAAGCTGCCACACCTAGGCCACTCTGCTGGACAGCTCTAGGGACCATGACCTTCCATCAGCCAACTCCATCTCCCATCACCAACAGAATACCTGAAAAGATAGAACAGGAAAAGGCTTGGATAATAGCCCAGAGCTTAACTATGGGAGTAGTAGGAGCAATCATCTGGCAGAAGGGACACCTTTCTACTTTCTCTGTTGGTATCAATTTAACTTTAAGATGCCATTTGTCTAGTGAAATAAATATAAAATGTTATAAAAAATTAAAATATTTTTCATTGATGTGGACGCCATATAAATGCTTAGTATGTACACATTAAAGAGTTTTTACAACACGAATACTTTTTTAAAAAAATAACTGAATGAGATATACTTAATTTGTCCTTCCTATTAGATAATTCATCGGGGTTAGTCAGTCTTTACTCCAGGGGGGCTACGTGTGGTGAGCGAAGGATGAATTCTGAGAATTTCTAGTCAGGCCAAGCCATGTAATGAGTGTGGGCAAAGTGCAGGGGAATTTTATGTGCTTTTTTTAAATATGCTCAATGGACTTTCTCATGAGTTGGTGATACGAACCACAGGTAATGTTTACAGCTCTTTATTTTCACTGTTAATTGTGTCCTCTCCACTCTCATAGAGTTTTCCATTTTGATCACTGCTCTGACTTTTGAATGCTTTCTTTCCTTATTTATTCATTTTGCTGTTTGCAAAAGAATCGAAACCCAGACTGAGGAGAGTAATTTGTGGCTGCAGCTAGGTTCTTGTTGGATTAATGACTTTTCGTTTTTATGTTTAGGTTTGATGAGAAGAGGGCAGTGCAGCAACTGAGAGCATGTGGTGTCCTGGAAACTATCCGAATCAGTGCAGCGGGCTTCCCCTCACGGTGAGCCTGGCATTTTTCAAATGTAAGCGATCCTAATGGGAGAGATTGCTAGTTCTTCAAATAAGCTGATATGGTTTTCTTTTTTATAGGTGGACTTACCAAGAATTTTTCAGCCGCTACCGTGTCCTAATGAAGCAAAAAGATGTGCTGAGTGACAGAAAGCAAACATGCAAGAATGTGTTAGAGAAACTGATAGTGGTGAGAAAGATTTCACTTACCTTTATCTGCACAGATACTGGCCAAAAGCCTGTGGTTCTGACCTTTGAAAGCCCTGGGAATTTCCATGTCAGATACCACTAATCCATATTATTTGAGGGTGGGATGGTGGAGGGGCACACGGTCTTGGCTTACTGTGTTTAGGATGCTAAACCTAATGAGGATGATGGTCCACTGTCAGGAAAACAGAATTTTGAGGCCTAAACCCAGACTTAAGACACATTCCTTTTAGAGAGTTTGATCATTATTAATAAAAATTTACCTAGTACTTACTTATGGAAGACACCATGTCAGATGCTGTGTGATTAAGAAAAAGTATGTCTTGTTCTTAGGTAATGTAGTCTTTCTTGGAAAATAATGCATTTTAAAGATAAGTATAATATACCTCAGTGTCTATATCAAATGCTGGGTAAGTGAGATAAAAAAATCAGAGGAAGGCAAAGCCACATCCAGCTATGGGTAGGAGGAATAATTTCATGAAAAAAGTTATGTTTTGAGTCAGGCCCTGAAGAATGGATAAGATTGTACAAAAATGGAAGGAGGCTGGGCATGGTGGCTCACGCCTTAATCTCAGCACTTTATGAGGCCAAGGTGGGAGGATCACTTGAGCCCAAGAGTTCGAGACCAGCCTGGGCAACATAGTGAGACCCCATCTCTACCAAAAAAAAAAGCCAGGCATGGGTGGACACATGCCTTTAGTCCCAGCTACTTGGTAGGCTGAGGTGAGAGGATCACTTGAGTCCAGGAATTCAAGGCTACAGGAGCTATGATTAGGCCACTGCACTCTTGCCTGCGTGACAGAGCAAGACCTTGTCTCAGAAAAGGAAAAAAAAAAGTGGAAAGAGAACATCGTAAGGTGCAAGGTGTAAAGAAGTAGGAAAGCATATGTTTCACTTAGAAAACAGCAGTTTTTGCAGTGCGAGATTTGTGTATAAGACAGTAGAAAAATGATTAGGAAATGTAGGAGGGAGTTATAAAGAATCTTACATACCAGACTAAGGAGTTCTTAAACTTTATTGTGTATCACAATAACCTGGAGGTCTTATAAAAACACAGATTGCTGGGCCCCTTCATGAGAATTTCTGATTCAATAGATCTGAGATGGGCCCAATAGTTTGCACTTCTAACAAGTTTCCAGATGATGCTAATGCTGTCTGAGGACTGACTGCATTTTGAGAACCACTTATCTAGGTCTTAGAGAAGTTAAGATTCACAAAAGGTTTTTAAAAAAATATTTTCACTTGTTTAACACTAGTCTGAATAAATTACCTCACTCTGAGGTAATTAGTGATAACTACTCACTATTAACTAAATGTAGTATCCCTTCTTTGGTAATAATATTTTTTTCTTTGAAAGAGCTAAGGCCATTTTCTTAGTAATGTTAAAAAAAAACACAAAAACTAATGCTTTTTGAGTTTGGCTGGGTTCATAGGGAACATAGAACAGAAAGTAAGAATGGTGCTACGCCTGGCCTCCTCAGCCAGGCCACTCCAGCCTGGACCAGGGCTTTGCAGGAAATTTAAGCAGAAGAGACTGAGAGGTGGAGGCAAGGTTGGTGTGGGGTGGAATGGGGGAAGCTGAGGTGGGAAGGGACTCGGTGGGGAGCGAACCACTTTCTAGCTAGGGTTCCTGCACAAACTTGATTGATTTAAATTGAAATAATTTTAGATTTTTTAGATATATGTGGAGGTTTCTGATTCTGGTTTCATGTACAAGGTAGGAGATACCTGCTTACAGTGAAAAGTGATTTTCTCTGTTTTTGCTTAGAATTTTAGATCACAGTAGTGATTATTATACATAAATTCCATTCTTTTGATATGAGAATGGTTAATAATTTGCATGCTTCTGGATAAGGTGAATCACAATGCAGTAGAAAGGTGCATGTGTGTCTGTGTTTATGGCTCAACTCTGCTTATGCTCAAAAGTCAGTATGTAATATCAATGATTGTGTTTTCGTAAAAGGAGTTTGAAATTCGTAGGGCTTTAGACACATTTATAGGGTTTTGTTTGTTTGTTTTCAGATACTATTGATAAAGCCAAGAGATTAGTGTTTAGAAATTTAACTCTTAGTATGGATACCCAAGGATTTTTTTGTTTTTGTTTTTTTTTTTAATTTTATCTCATGTGCATTTCTTCCTTCTTTATTCTTCACACTGGTGTTTTTGTCCCTTCAGCTTTCTCATGGAATATACAGCCTGATGTAATCCTTACAGCCTGGGTCAGTCAGAGAGAGTGTCAACATCTCCATTTCCTTGAGATGTTTAAAATACAAACAAGCAAATAATAGCTGCCTATAACCCACAACCCACAACCAAGTTTTGGGCCTCAGATAATAATTCCAGGTAGAATAATTCTGGACAATAACTCTTAAACTGAAGTTTTCCTTAAAATCCCTTCTATTTGCTCAACTTGCATAGGATCAAAAGTATGGCTCCATTAGTTAATTGCAACGTAGCCAAAGATTTAGCTAATAGATTCATCCCTTTACTGACTCTGCTTTTAGACATATTTTTTCTCTTTATATTTCATTTATATGGTCATTATTTCTGAGTATACAATTTCTTCCAAAAATAGGACCAGGACAAATACCAGTTTGGTAAGACAAAGATCTTTTTCCGTGCTGGTCAAGTGGCCTATCTAGAAAAATTGAGAGCGGACAAACTGAGGGCTGCCTGCATCCGGATCCAAAAGACCATCCGAGGGTGGCTGCTGAGGAAGAAGTACCTACGCATGCGGAGGGCGGCCATCACTGTGCAGAGATATGTGCGGGGCTACCAGGCCCGATGGTAGGTCTCCTGGGGACCTGTCCACTCTAGCTCACAGGCCCCTAAGGTTAGGGTGCCTGTCTAATTCACTGTCCAACTTGGATAGTTTTGAGTGGTCACCCTACTAGATAGGGCGACACTCACCCCTTCTTAGTTCCCAAGGAAAACAAATTAACTCATAAGATAGCTAAATATAATAAAATTTCACTTACCCTTATGAATGATTCAGATTCATCTTCAAAAATTTATAAATTGCTGTCTATGTCCTAAGAATTTTTTATTTTTTATACTTTTATATAGGACTTGAAGAAGTCATATGTAAATTAAAACAGTCATGAATATGAGCTAGTTAAGAATGATTCCATTGAGGAGTTTTGGGGTGCAATTAACTGAGGGGTTCTGGAAGAGAATTATGTTTTAGTGTGATTACATATTAGGATAATTTTAATTTAGAAGTATAAGTAGAAATGAATTAATGATGAAGAACTTACACTCTAAGGATAGATTTTATACTCTAACAGATAGATTCAGAAAAGAATATGGTACATTAACAATGGCCAGATCCAAGAAAGCTGGTGATATGTAAGTATGGGATTACTGTATACACCAGTCTGCTATGTAAAGGGGATATTGCCTGGGGTAATGAATCCTGTCCTAGAAAGAATGAGCTTTTATGAACTTCACTTTCTTTCTTGTCAAATCTGGCAACAGGGGCCATCCCACTTTTCAGGGTTAGGGAAGGCTCAAATGAGATAATGAATGCAAAAATACCTTGGGAAACTATAAGTTGCTATACAAATATAAGTAAATATAAATGTTGATTTTTACATACACATTATTAGGATAATATAATGGAGGTGCTACTTCTTATGCCTAAGACATTGACACTCCTAAGTTTCTACAACGTAAGAATACATTCCTGCATTTTTCTGATTACTGACAATGCACCACTACTTTCTTTGGCCAGCTATGCTAAGTTTCTGCGCAGAACCAAGGCAGCAACCATCATTCAGAAGTACTGGCGCATGTATGTGGTCCGCAGGAGGTACAAGATCAGACGAGCTGCCACTATTGTTCTTCAGTCTTATTTACGAGGCTATTTGGCCAGAAATAGGTATCGCAAGGTGAGGCATTATTTTCAACTTTGTTTATTCATTCCACTAACATTAGGCAAATTCCGTATCTGTACAAAGTCCACAGGGGCTATAGTGGCTGTAGGAGCTATATGGAGACAACCAGCAATTGAAATGTATTTTAAAATATTAAATAATTATATGTATTTATTAACAAGACAATGGAAAAAGAAAATTTACCATGGTGAAGAGGAAATAATTATAACATGCATGTGGTTAAAACTGTATTGACAAGGGTATGATGCTCCAGAAGTTTTGTATCTAGCAATAATTAACATGACTGTAGATAGTGAGTCACCAGATTAGTTGTAATCATTACCTGTGACAGTAGATGGAAGATTTTTAATCTCTGTCATTTTGGCAAGCTTACCTTCCCGTTTGACTCAGTACTCTTCTTAGGAACATCCAAACTGGGTTTTGAGGCCATTGGTATAGCAGTAGCAGTCTCTGCCCAGTTCACAGTGGGAATGACAGGTTAGAGGCTTGCTCACATGTAGGCCAGTAGCCACCCCATTAATGCTCCTTCTAGCTGTATTTCAGGTCCAAGTTTCCCCTTCGTGGATTTGTTGGTGGCGGGGGATAGGTCTTCAAGAGATACAGGTGTTCTTTAGTTTCTCTGACTCACTGATGGAAATGAGATTGAAAATGGAAGCTCTGATTATATGCTGTTTCCATTTGACTAAAATTACAAAAATGGAACAATGTCCAAAGTTACATGGGGAGAAGCAAATATAACAGAAAAATGGACATTAATAGCTTTGCCACTGTGTGCTTCTTGAGGTTTAAAGTCTGAAAGACTTCGGTTTACCAGCACTAAGTCTCATCCAGTTGCTCCTTAGTCATCTGGTTAAGACAAAGGCCTCCCTCGGGATTGTGATGTTCAGTGAGAGTTCAGAACTCCCAACCTCAGTGCAGTGTGATGCACCCACACTGAAGGCACTGAAGGCTGCCTTAGCATTCAAAAAACAGCCCAAAAAGGCAGGCTTGAGTTGACTGAAGATACTGTTCAGGTGTCCTGAACTCCTATGTTTATTTTGTATTGATGGTCTAAAACTTAACCACTTATTTCTTATGTGTGTCTTCTAGGATGGTGCTTTTTTAATTGTTTTGTTTCAGGTAATTAACCTAAAAATAGGAATTATTCTTTTAATGATCTTATTAAACTGCTATCTATTTGGGTAAATGGTTGCAGAGATTTTTACATCTTAAAAGTTTGGTAAGAAATACATTGTATCCATTTGTGAAAATCACTAATAAGTACTTAAGTGCATAACATTTAAACATCATTTATGTCATACAAGAGCTATTTAATAATATCATACACGTAGAAGGACTTCAAGATATTTCTAGTTCAACCTTTCTTCAAATTCAAGAATTTCTTCTCCATCTTTCCTAGAAAATGTTTATACAATCTCTTCTTGATAGTCTTTAGCAATAAAAGAAATTCATCTAAGGCAACTTTTTTGGTGTAAATTATCTATAAGTTTAGGGGAATATCATGGTTTTTTTAGAAAATATAACATCAAAAGTAAGATTTGTTTATTTCACATCTTCTTACTTTTAGCTTTCCCTTTAAAGCCCGATGCCTCCCACCTTTAAATCCCATAAGTGGATTCCTGCTACATTTGAAACAGTAATAGAAAACCCTAAGATAGTATTTCTCAAATATGGCAAACAAGAGTGTCATCTTTTTGTTTTGGGGAAGTAAATCAATAATCAATAACAAACTTTACAGTACCCCAAGAGTTAGCCTCCATGGTCAGTTTGCTGCCTACACCCACATCCTCATGCCCAGGCCTAATGCACTATGAGATGGTGTCAGCAGCAAGGCTGGTAGGGAAGTCTTATTCACAGGGTGCCTGGTTCTGTTAATTTTATAGAGGATCACCTGTTGCTAAGAGAAATCGTACACCAATAAGAAACCTAATATATTTTTTCTTTTTTTTAGAATTGTTTTTCTTTTGGAAATTTGGTGCTTTTTATTTAGACAGCTTCCAACTATATACTCTGCTTAGAATCATACATATAACATGTGAATACAACACATATTTTTATGTGTTTCTCCAATCACCTTCTGTAGTCTACTTTTCAAATCATTTTTAAAAATAATTTCATACCTTTATATAATATATCTGTGATATGTATAATCCACATAATACACTGTGGATTCAACTTTTGTGTCTTTTCCTTTAAGTCATGTATAGATTCTCAGCCTGACATAGGTTGATAAAATTGAACTTTGAGTCCAGTGCAGTGTCTGACATTACTCACCCTTACCTTTTTCTGCAGATACTCCGTGAGCACAAAGCAGTCATCATTCAGAAGTGGGTCCGGGGCTGGCTGGCTCGCACACACTACAAGAGGAGCATGCATGCCATCATCTACCTTCAGTGCTGCTTCCGGCGGATGATGGCCAAGCGTGAGCTAAAGAAGCTCAAAATTGAGGCTCGCTCTGTGGAGCGCTATAAGAAGCTCCACATTGGTATGGAGAACAAAATCATGCAGCTACAGCGCAAAGTTGATGAGCAGGTGTGTTTTAAAAAAAAGAGCCCTGAAAGTGGAGCATACCTGAAGAAATCCACTGCGATTGCTTTCAATATTGTTTCTCCTTGACATTACCCTTCAGTCTTAGCAAAAAGTAAAATAATTATAGTAATGAGCATGGAAATGATGAGCTTATAAGTTAGATTACAATTGTAAGGACTAAGGCAGGAAATTATTTTTGAGAGCACAGTTCAAATTTACTAATGCTCCAAACCTTTATGATCAGGAGTCATATTGTACTTTAATCTGAAGAGCTCTATCACCATTATTATTTATTTGCATTTGATACTGCGTTCATTTTACAGATGAGTTGTTCAGCATTGAAATGGCAAAAGAAGCATGGAGATGTTCATGCTTCTAAGGAACTTGCAGTCTATTTGCAGAGATATAAGTTTGTTTATGGCTAGCCACAGTGGCTCACGTCTGTAATCCTAGCACTCTGGGAGGCTGAGGCGGGCGGATCGTTTGAGCTCAGGAGTTCAAGACCAGCCTGAGCAAGAGCGAGACCCCGTCTCTACTAAAAAAATAGAAAGAAATTAGCTAGACAACTAAAAATATATAGAGAAAAAAATTAGCCGGGCATGGTGGCGCATGCCTGTAGTCCCAGCTACTCGGGAGGCTGAGGCAGAAGGATCGCTTGAGCCCAGGAGT